CTCCATCTTCTCCTTCCTCCTGGGCAAGGCGCTTTCCCCAAGGCTCTGGGCTGGCTGGCTTCACTTCTTGGCGACTAACCATGGACTCTGGCCCTTGAGGAGGGATAGAGAAGATGTTTGAGAAGGAGTCTCACTGGAGATTGGCACGTGGGGGCCCTCCAGGTCAGGGGGATTCTACAGACCCGCTGACCTTGGCAGACCCCTTGCGCCCTCCCAGTTTGGACCTGCTCTCTCTACCCCCTTTCTTCTGCCACAATCCCATTTGCCCTCCTCTGATTTGAGAAGTCAGTGTGGCCCAGGATCACGCTCACTGGAAGATTCTAGCAGGGAAAGGAGGGCAAGGCAAGGGAAGGGACTGCCTGCCTGCAGCGGCCAGCTCCTCTCTCTCTGCTTTGTAATCCCTTCCGGGCCTACTCGGTCCTCTCTTCATTCTGGCTAGGTTGGCCACCACAGCGTCCTCCGGCTGCACCCTCATTTAGCACTTTGCACACACGTCCTGGCACTGCTGGGTGTCCCTGTTAGCTCCTGGAGGACAGGCTGGGTCTTCAACAGTCCTCAGTGACCCCTCCCTTCCCATCCCACTGCCCACGCATGGTGGGTGCTTAATGAAGTAGGTTAATAACTCAGCACGTCCTAGACATTTAAGAGCCTTGACCACTGCAGGCAGGCACTGAGCTAGGTCCCTCGGGATCCTGATGAACAAGAAAGTCTCTCCGTCTAAGAGTTCACTGTCTAATATGGAAGACTGACTTTCCTACTCTAATAGACGGTGGAGGAAGAAAAGGACACAGAGTTCCAAGGAGGGAGACTCATCCAACTGAGGAACCCAGAAAAGTCTTCCCTGGGCCGTGGAGTCTGAGCTGGGCCTTGAAAGGAGGGTAGAACTTAGGGAGAAAGAAGGGCATTCCAGGCCAAGGGCCCAGCATGGGCAAGGGTGTGGAGGGGGAAGTGTGCAGAGTGAGTGGACCCTGGGAAGAAGAGGGCCTGTTGGGGAGGCCCCCACGGTGCTGAGGCTTTGTCCCTAGCTCAGCTCTGCTCTATCTACGTCTTCTTTCGACAGACACTTGGCTGTTCCTTGGAGGCAGGATTTTTCCAGGAACCAGAAGGTCACTTTGCAAGTGGAATTCTGCCTTAGCATATAAAATCCAGCTCCCTTCCCTGCGCCCTCCTCCCCCTTCCTCTACCACAGTGAGGAGCATGCTGCTTCAAGGAAACCACCCCCTCGAAAATTCCACTCCTTGGAGAAAGGAGTGGCTCGTTCCTGTTTTGCTCCTGCCTTCCTTCTCTGCCCTCCACCTCCACGTGCATTTCCTCCTCTTTTCTGGTTCGCTCACCCGTGGCCTGCCTTTCTCGTCTTTTCCAGTGGTGTGGGGTCTTAGGTGCTGGGTGTCTCAAGTTGCCTGAAAATGTGTGAAGGTGCAGGCCCATCGGAGCCAGGCTGCGGAGCATGGGGTGGTGCGCGGGGAGGGGCGCAGAGACCCTGAGGTGAAGGAAGGCCAGGGGAGCCTACCACGGCAGCACAATATCCCTGAACGTTGTGGGGCTTTGGTGAGCCCCCTGCACGGTGAGTGGTTAACCTGTAGTGTTTAGTCTCTGATGATTTCAGCAGCGTAGACACCAATGTGAGAAGCAGCCTCTGCAGCCATGCCTGCCCTGGGGCAGCTGACCACACTCACCTCCTCCCGCGCAGGACAGGTCCACTTGGCATCTTGTTATTCAGGGTTAGGAAGCACACACATGCTGCACACAGTTCCGCAATACCAACTCCATGCATGATACTATCACAGCCAAATAACTCTAGGTGGAGGGGCATGGAATCCCCAGCGTCCCAATCCTCCCAGGAGCTGACGGTCGATGGAATCGGAGGGTTTCAGGGTGTCAGATGTCCCCCAAGTCAACTTCCTCATTTGACACTTGGGGAAACTGAGACCCGGAGTTGCCCCATACCGGATAGTTAATAGTGGGGAAGAGACTGGAAGCTGAGCCTCCTGACTCGCTGGCCAGTGCTCTCCCCTTTCACGGGCCAAGTCTAACCCTCCGCGTGTCTGTGGCATTACATTCTGCCAGGTGAAGTCAGGGCCCCAGGAAGGGAGGCCAGCCCTCCACCTGGCAGGGAGGAGGCACGGGGGAGGCTGAACTGGGGTGTGGTGTGTGGGAGGGGCCCTCTCTTCCTTAGCGAGTGGGACTTCTTTTGGTCCACATGACTCCAGAGGCACAAGCCGCCGACCTTGGTGAGAGCCATTATTAGGGCCTAGATCACCTGTTATCCTGTCACCCATGGGGGCACTGGTTCAGTCTGTTGTCAAGCTAGGTGTTTGCAAGTCTCTAGGTAGACAGTGCTGGGTAACAGCGGGTCCCCTGTGTCAGAGCACAGAGCGCTGGACGGGAGAGTGAACCACAGAAGGCTTCAGGCCTCAAGACTCAGCGCCCTACAGTTCACAGAGAACATTCACCAACAGGACCGTAATTTGCCCCACGGGGCAGGGCTGGGTGCACTGCTGGCTCCCTGGGCAGGCAGTTCTCATCAGGAGGGGAGTGAGCATCTTTAGCCTCCCTGAGCCCTCTCTGGCCGCCAGCCCCTCAGCGCAGCCCCTCCCGGGTCCATTCCTTCTGCATACACCTGCACGTCTCCTTCTGCCCCTCCCCCATTATTCCTGTTCTCCTGTCTGCCAGCATGAGTGCTCATCCCAGCTACCCTGCAAACTTCTCGCCCATTTGTTTCCCTACTTCTCATCTCTCTGCGCTGCATGTAACACAGAGTTGAGTTGAGTTAAGGTCCAAGTGGAGAGGCTCAGGGGCCCTGAGGTCAGGATCCCCAGGGTGTGGGGTGTGCAGCTTGCAGCCCTGTGACGGGGGGAGGTCCTGGCCGAGGACACACGAGGTACTGAACTATGCAGGGAGAGAATGTGCGTGCACACACGGGTCAGACCTCGGTGAAAGGGGAGATGTGCAGAGCACCTTCCCCCGCCTGTCTGGGGCTCTCCTGCCACCTCCTCTGTGCTTATTTTTCCTTGACTCTTTTAAACTTTTCTTTACACATATTTCTATTTTATTATCTATATTCTTGCAAGGGACTCGGAATCCTTTGCGGTATTATCTGAGGTGTAATAGGTCAACGAATAACACCAGGACTGGAACAAAGTAAATGAGGTTTCTGTCTGCCCAAAGTTATCCAGGATATTCAGCTAACACAGATCTCAGTTTCTGGAGCTTTCCAGTTAATGTTTGACTGTATTTTGAGATCATCCGTGGGTTCTGATTGCTGCAATGAGAGTCTGAAAGGGAAGGAGGCAGTGGGTCTCGAAGAACCAGGTTACACTCTGATTCCTCAGGACCTCGGACGGGAGTGGGAGGTGAGGAACCAAAAGAAAATGGGTGAGGAGGGTGGTGTTGGAGGTGGCCTTAGTCAGCAGAGCCAGGGTGAGAGCACCTCTCAAGGAGCAGAGATGTGGGCAGGGACACACTATGACTTTCGTGGGCTGTAGGCCCTTTTGACTTTGTGGGCTCCCTCCTACATAAAAAATATAAGAAATTATATTTTATGACTGCTCTGGTAGAAGGACGAATAAAACTCTGCCTGGATTCATGATTAGATATTCTCCTTTTTTTTCTTCCGAATTTAAAAGAAATGAAAATGAAAATATTTTCCTGGCCTCTGAAAGTACCATGGGCGTAGGCTTGTGTCACTGGGCCTGGCAGAGAAGTGAGCCCTGGATGGGGTCCTGGGAAGCTGGCTCTGGATGAGAAGCATCCCTGGGCTCAGGATTATTTGGAAAGTACATCCTGGAACTCTCCCTCGGTAGGAAAAGCAACTTTGCCAGCTGGTGGTTTGGGCCCAGGTCGCTCATGCTTCTGCCACATGGGGAGGGGACAGATGAGCTCTGTTCAATGACCGTAGGGATCGGCTCTAGTCCGACTGCTTCCCTCTCCAAGTGAGGAAGCCAAGAAAGACTCAGAGGAGGAAGCTGTCTGATTTCCAAAGTGTCTGAGTGGACGTTCCGAGTAAGAATTCCCGTGCCGTCCCCTCGGGTCTGGGCAGCACGTGGTTCCAGGAACACAGTGTGGCAGGGGGCTCACGAATGTGGAGCTCCTAATTTAGAGCGTATGTGACTGTGTGTGGGCGGAGTCTGAGTTTAAGTTTGCCATTGTACTGTCTAGGGAGAAAGGATATGTTAAGAAAAATTAAAATGTAAATAAAACCAGGGAGGCATTTACCTGAGCTGTTTGCTATTTTCAAGCCCTTTAGAGGCACCATTTTATGTTGTAAAACATCTTACCATAAACCTGTACGCTGCACCACAGGTAATACTCACCTAGTCTTTAGAGTAGGTCTTCTGAGACCTGTACCAAGCAGTGTACTATGAATAGAACTCTATAACACTCTACTTATTAAAAAATAAAAACAACTTCAGACGGCCAATCTGGCGCAGGTTTGTGAGTCTTTTTTGAATGTTCTTTGTTGGCGTGGAATGGCAATGAGGCAAACTTTTCAACTGCTAGTTGTGAGTGGACCTTGCAAATCCATGTCACATGAACGACCAGCAGTAGCTGTTACTAGTGACTGCAGCTCAAAAGGCAGAAAAACAAAAAACCACCAAAAAAACAAAAGCAGTAGCAAATAGCCCTTTGTAACCCTGGGGGCCCTGGGGGGATTCAGCAAAACTGAACCTTAAATGCTCAAATGGCACGGTAATGAACTTGGGACATGTTACAATAGACATTGCTTCATACAGTCCCCTCCCTCCCTCTGTTGGATGTAACATTACAAAACATTATACTTCTGAGAACCCCTGCTTCTGGAACTTCCTGCTTTCACACGAAAGAATGCATTTAATCTAATGATTAATCAGGATCGTGAATTGCCATGTTTCATTTCTTTTTTAATAATGAAAATCCATAAGAGTTTAAAATATTCTTAGACATACCTAGCTTGGCAAACACCGCGGACTTCCACGTTTCTATGAAATCACACATAAGCTAGCCAGCCCCTCAGTGCTGGTTGGCCCCCTTTGGCACCGGAACAATAATTTATTAAGCTTCAATACCTAATAAGTGTGCACAAATATCATGCAAACATGACCATAGTCATAAACAAAAGTGTATTAGAGTCGTAGACTTATACAAAACGTCTTGTAAACAAAAGGGAAGAGGTTGGTATTTTCTGTACAAAATAGGCAGGTTTTTCCTTTTTAATAATCTGTAAGATGCATCATACTTCTGGCATTTTCAAAAAGTGAAAACTGTATAAAAATAAATATTCTATGTACAAACACACACACAGGCCAATCCCAGGTTAGAGGCATCACTGTAAGACAAAAACAAACACAAAACAACGCAGAGTTAGCGTCAGGGGGTCTGCGGGTGTTTATTTCCCTCGTGGGAAAGGAGGGAGATCCTGTCGTGGTTGGATGAGAGCTCTGGATAGCGGAGTTGGGGGAACCACGGGCTGGGAGACGGAAGACCCCGAGGGTGGGAAACCGCTGCCTCCTCCAGTCACTCCCCTTCCTGGCCACTAGAGGGCACTTGCTCTCCATGCTGCCTTTGGAGGCCAGGCTATTGTTGAATTACTGCATCTTCCCAGACTGAATTTATGGTGTGAACCAACCGACACGGGGCTCTCTAGTCGCTTCTCCAAGACATTGTACCTCTCGATAGTGGCTGTTCTTCCCCTGCTAAGCTTAACCATTTCTATGTCCTAACCATCAGAGCAACCTTGAAGAAGAAAATCTTTTTCTTGGAGGGCATGGGGTCTTATCCGACACAGCTCTTACCTGCGTCTGTGGAGCTTTAACTAGGCCCAGGGGAGCTCACCAAGAGGATGAGGCTTGGCTGGAGGGAGAGATCCTTGGGGAGGCATCTCCCTGAGGGTTGAGCTTTTCCTTCTCTGGTGAGGGGTGCTCTAGGGACCTGGGTGAGTAGGCACTCCACCCCGGGCCAGGGGTCTTGGTGGTTTCACTACTTTTATTCAGTGCCGTGGACTAATGAGCTCTGAGCATTTAGCACAGAGAAGCTACTCATCTCACCGTGAGTGTGCCTCTGCTGTCCCTGGGACAGAACTGGATGAGCTAAGCACAAACTCTTGACAGGTTGGGGTCTCCAGCCCCTTTGTGAGGATGAACCAACACCTTGAGATCACCGTGGTGGAGGGCTGGTGAGAAGTCTTCGAGGGGAGGCAAGGTGGGGGAGGCTGTGGCTGGGACAGCATGGCAGCTGCTGCCTTTGCCAGGGACCAAGTTGGGACCATTAGCAAACCGACGGCCCTGGTCAGGCCGGGGAGCCCCGCACCGTGGGGGCTGTGGCTGAGTGGGGTGACTGCATGCCAGGGCACAGCCCTGTGGTGTCAGATGGCTTTAATAGTGGCAATGCCAAGGCAAGTGTGGACAAATGAAAACTCATTGTTGGTAGGAGTTCTGGGAACCTGGAAGAGCTGGGGCTGCGGGTCTCATGTGTGAGGCATGAAGGTCTGACAGCTGACGTTCAAGGGGAAGGGGAGAGTGGTGAGCCGGGCAGTCTCTATGAGGAGGTGTAGAAGCCATGTGAGTTTATAATTTAAGCAACTTAGATTTCCTACATCTGGATAAATGTCATCGTATGACTGAAATGACCTCATATGAACACTATGAGAATAGCTAATGATAACTGATTTTAAAACATGGTCTAGAACTCCTTGGAGGAAAGGTACTGTATATATTAACCACACAAAGCATAAAGATGTCATCTGTGTGGCTACATGGAAATTCCATAAACTGAGGTTTGCTGATGCCTTAAAAAGCATTTTTAAGTGTTCTCCCAGTGCGTGCAGTGCGTGGGATGCGTAACGGGCACCCTGCCTTTGTGATCGTCCCTTTTTGACCCATGTCTTGCTGCCTAATCTGCAGAAAGGCCCAGAATGGAAATTGTGGATGCTTTATCACACTGTGGAGAATGGACCCCCAGTACGCCTGTGCCCCCAAGGCCCTGCAGACCCCCAGGAAGCCTTACCTTGTTCCAGCAGCCCTGGACGGGTAAGCCGTCTTCACCCTGCAGTGAGGAAGGAAGGCAGATGCTCAGACTCTCCGGGATGGCCCACCAAGCAGGCAGAACAGGGGGACAAGGGCCACATACATTGTGGCAGCTGATTAGGATGTGGCCCACCTGTTACTATTTCTTTTCTCTACCCTTGGGCAGAGCCTCGGAAGCAGGTGGGAAGCAAGTCCGCCTGTCTTCCCGTTGGCTAGGATCACATGGAGTCACAGTGCAAGGCCAAGAGGGGCTGTCCTAGCCTGTGGGGTCAGCGAGCAGAGGCAACTGGAATGCCATGGAAAGGAAAACTGGGAGACCCACTGGTCTCTGCTCCACTGTACGAGGTGCTCATGGGCACATCATTTAGCGCTTGGTGGCCTCAGTTTTCCCCTCTGTAAAACCTGGGGAAGGTGTGGCCGTATGAAACTTCTGCTAGGGTCCCCCCTCCGCCAGTTCTCCCATTCTCTTATTTTTCTCTCTTCCTTAGCAGTGGGACGAGGAAATCTAGGCGGTTCTTATCTGATGATCAATAAGGAGGAAGAGGAGGCTCAAAGGGACAGGCACCCTCTTGGGTATTGCAAATGGCCCTGAAGTGCTTTCAGCAAGGAGACAAGGGCTATGGCATAGCCTTAGCCATTGCTGGGAATTTGGGGGAAGATGCAGTGGCAGGATGCGAGTCAATTGTGCGCTGTATGTCCCCTTTGCTGGTGGCACCCATGGAGCCCCCTGTAGCCTCAGGATGTCCCAAGTCTTGTTGGGCCCTGGTTCCTGGTCTCTCTGGCACACCTGCAGGGAATCTAGGATCTTTGAGAGACAGGTGGGGAGAGTGAGGCTGAACTAGGGCAAACATCTGGTTCCCAGGTATGTCTACTAGAATTGCAGCCCAGATTCTAGAATTCCAGACTCTAGAGCAGAGAAGGAGATGGACACAGGGTTTCAGGGGACCAGAGCAAGTGGTCAGCCCCGAGGAGGTTGAGTGGGAGCCCCCTGTGCCCTGGACCAACTTCATCCACCACGACAGGTGCCTAACCCTCTCACCTGGCGTTCAGTGGGCAGCCGGCCGGACCCGGAGGGCCGAAGAAGTGTAGTTATCTTGTACTAAAAGTCATGATCAATAGCTCCCCCGCCCCCATGCCCACAATAACACAGTGCAGGAGACAGGGAAAACAGTAACAATGAGGAACAAGACAGGGAAGATACGTACACTTCCACAGCAAAATTAATAGACAAAGGACACATCGATATGGGATGTTACTGGAAAAAATGCCCCTTTGCATTAAGGGTCAAATAAAGATGACCTTTGTTGTCCCCTCTGGGTCAGGGAGGGTCTGCAGGGGGAGGTGGTGCATTCCAGGGCTTCATGATGACTTTCTGCCCCCTTCCCCAGCCCGCCACAGTGTGACACTTCACACAGACCCTGGAAGGGAGAGGAGCCTCCGCAGGCCATAGTGGCACTCCCATTGGCACATGGATGGTGGCAGAGGGGACAGAGGAGGGTGGGCAGGCAGAGGAGAATGGTGATGTGTGAGAGAGGAGCAGGGTGGCCAGGGCTGCACCTGGCAAAACTCAAGGTGCTCAGATTGTGGAAGGGACGTGGCAGAGAGGATACCTGGCTGATGGTTAATGGAGGCGCTTTGGAGGGACTGGGAAATTCCATGGTTGAGAAAGGAGCCTGCGTGCTGCATGCTTGGGTTCAGGAGGCGGGGCCAGCAGTGGAGTGGAGTGGGGGCGGCGACCGAGGGCTTTAGCAGTGAGGGGCAGGAAGCATGCTATTCTACCTTCTCCTTTTGTTGCATATCCTGGTCCCCAAAGGTCCCTTCAAAGGGCTCTAGGTCACCTCTCAGGATCACACAGCATATTTTCTTATAACTTTTTCTCTTCTGTTCAAAGATAACTCCTGTGTGACCCTAGGTGGGGATGTGGGGGTGGGAATTCTCATCTATTACCAGCAAAAAAATAGCTCCATTAACTCCGAAGCTCCTGGGGAAATTTAGGAGAGCAGGACCCTCCTAAGCCCATTGCCTTGGAATGAAGTGCCATCTTCTGCTTCCCTTGCAGTCAGTTGAAGGCATTGCTGTGACGGCCTAGGACGTTCCTGCCTAGAGAGGGATTGGGTCTGGTGGGATCAGAACTGCTGCCACTCAGGCCGGGACATGCTTAGGAGAGGGGTCATAAATGTCACCCCTCTTTCTCTGCCTCCCCATCTCCTCCCTTCTCTTCCTTAACTACGTTCTTGACCTTTCCATTCTCTTCCAGATTTTTTGGTGGTGAACCATATAAAGACGAAAGAAAGGGAAACCAAGGGAGGGTCTTGTAATGCCTTCTGGGATTTAAGCAAAAAGGATGAACCTTTTAGGATCTAAAATCTTGATCTTGGACCATCCCCTAGTTCTGGTGGTGTCACCAGGGCAGCGACCCCAGACCCATCATGGAAGAACAGTCAGGGTAGCCCCCTCCTCTGCCTCAGTTCTAGAACCCCTCAGTCTACCCCATGTTTATGAGCCTGCCCAACTGTCCTCTGCCAAATCATGGGATGGTGGAGTGGGGAGGGATGTGGGCCCACTCAGGCATCTCATTCAAATGCTTTGCCAGGTGCTCAGCCAATGTTTCCAAACTAACTGCAGTATGCGAAGGCAGAGAAGTCACAGTCCTAAGAACCTGTCCAGAGAATCTACTTTCCTTGTTTTCTTTCTGGTGGCAGATTTGTCTAGAAGCATTTCTGAAAGGAGGATCAGCTGCAGCCAGAGGTGGCTTTGGGGTGGGAGGGACGGCTCACGTTAAGGTGATGTGCTTTTGAAGCAGCTGCAGGAGGAAGCCAAGAAAATGTTCTGGCAAACTCTGCATGCAGGAGGGAGGCATGGCAGGAACCCTCGAGGGCCAGCCGGGGCAGGTGACACTTGGTGTCTATAGAGTGAAGAGGCAGGAAGTGGAGAATGGATGGATGGAGCAGGAGGAATGTGGAGAGGCATGCAGGCAAGAACCACACACGTGGGGAGGCCCAAATCGGCCATGCAGGCAAGGGAGGGTGATGCCATACCAATGGGCACGGGGCATCCAGTCCGTCCAGCCCTGGTAACCCCGGCTCCCCTTTCTCTCCTTTAAAACCTCGGTGTCCCTGTTCACAAAACCAACCACGATGATTATTTAGGTCAAGGCTAGCCAGCTCCAACCGTGGAGTGGAGAGGCCCAGTCCCACCCTGGCCAGGATGCAGGACCCTTGAGGCATCCACAATTAGAGGCCAAATCTCTGTTGATTCCCGTCTACTAAATTCAACCTCTGTGCCCTCTTTGTCTTCTGGGAGAGCTGAGCTTTGAAACCTGTACAACCAGCCCCCTCTCCATTTAAGGACTCACTTGGAGTAAACACAGATTAACTTCAACGTTAGCGCATCATAATTTTCAGAACCTTCAGATGGATTGTGAAGGCACCTGAGGAGCCGGCCAATGTGCCACAAATCAGTCCTTATTGGCTGTTTTGGGAAGGCTTCCTGGGGGTGTCTGTCTACTGTTTTTGGTCCGCAGATCTACAGGTTTTAGCTGGATGGCTGGTGGGCGCTGGGAGGCTGTCTATTACAAACTCCCTTTCTGGCCTCATTCTGCCCAGTTTTGGGTATAGGTGGCCCTCAGGAGACACTAACCCTGGTGTCCTGCATCCTGACAGAGTGAGGATTCTGATAGCTTGAACTGCTGGCCACAGAAGTGGCCACAAAACAAAGAAGGCAAATGCGTGGCTCACAAATGCTACACTGGCTTCCAAAGCCATCGTGGAGCTGAGAGCTGAGGCCTCTCCAAAATCCCTCTCCTCACGGTTTCCCCATTCCCACACACCAATTGTTCTGCATCTTCCCAAGAAAGGAATTTACTCAGAATTACTTGCAGCTGTGGTTTAGGGCAACACCAGCAGCAGGCAGGATTTCACTGGCCAGATGAACAGACAGATTTTGGTAGCATCAGCGTAGGCATTCGGTTCTCAGTGTATTTGCCTTCCTTGTTTCTCAAGGAAAAAGCCAGAACAATGCAGGCGATGAATGGAAACATACCAATGGACAGGGGGCATCTAGTCCAGGCGCTCCTTGGTCTCCCTTATCCCCCTTAGGCCCTCTGGAGCCTTTCTTCCCCCTCTCCCCCTGTAAATAATGGGTTAGTCCAAGAAAAAAAAAACATCAAGTCTTTACGATCACTCATGTGTTAAGGTTAGCGACAGAAAAAGAAAAAATAATTAAAGAGGGAAAAATAGATTCTCTCAATTAGGATATTCTCCCAATAGGATTCGGGGTCATTACCCACCTCACCCCTCTAGGAGCCTGAGAATCCGGCTAAGGCAGGTGGGAAGGGGCAGGGAGCAGTGGAGCTGAGATCTGGAGGTGGGGGGAGATGCAGACAGAAGATACGGATGGCCTGTTTTGCTAATACGGAGCCCAGGGTGGGTCTGTGATGAGCAGAGGGACCCACTTCCTTCTCTTTAAGGGCCCATTTTTGAAAGAATTTGGCCTGATAACTTTTGTCCCAGTTGATTTTCATCCTTTGATATTCTATTAGGAGGCAAGGTGATTTTGTTTAGAGTGCTGGGGCATGTGTGCACATGTGTGTGTGAACATGACATGTGTGAATGTGTGCACATACATGGTTGTGCATGTGCATGTATGGTGTGTATGTGCTCCTGCATGTGTATGTGTGCATACACATGATTGTGTGTGTATACAAGTGTGGGCATGTATGAGTGTGTGCTTTTGCATGCGTGTACAAGTACACAAGTACACGTGTGTCTCCAGGGCTCATGGATGGCCCCAGGTCCTCAGTTGGGTCCTCCCATTCTGTGTGTGTCTCTGGTCCATCCTGGTCTGAAGTCATAGGCAGCTGCTTGTATCTGGATATGTTGGCTCAAGGAATTCATTTGTTTCTGCAAAGCTTCAGTAAATATCACCTTTCTAAATTGAAATCCATTTTGTATGTGTCATGTCTCTCTCCAACTAAAGAAGGGCTGTGGGGAATTCCTTGTGATGAATTTGAGTTTGGATTTTCATATGCTGAGTTTCCTTATAAAGGGGCCACACGTGCCCCTGGGGAGTCTTCCCGGGAGCTCTTCTCCTCCACAGAAGCCCATTGTCTCGCACCTGGGGACTTCCACAGTGTTACTCCAGGTGACAAGACCTTGGAGGCGGCAGCATATTGATCAGAGCAAACACCTGGAGCCAGAGCAGGTTCTGCCTGTGACCAGCAGTGTGACTTTGGGAGTTACTGAACCTCTCGTGCCTCAGTTTCTCCACCTGTAAAATGTGGATAATAACCCTGGCCTTAAACCTTTGTTGTGAGGTCTTTGTGCACATTAAGTGCCTAATACTGGTGTATAGTACGTGCTCAGTACATGATTGCTGCCTCGTAATGAGAATAATAACTATTATCATTTCTTGTTAGCTAGTGTAAGAGCCAAGGCTGCCGCCAGAGTTGTGGTCGTGTCATGTCTGCTGTGTTCCTGTAGTGGGAGGGACCAGGGTTCATTAGAGGGAGGCAAAGGGTAAGAATATTTTTGATGTTTCCCTGGATCTTTGGAAATTATTCAGATTTCTTGATGCCAGAGGTTCTCTGTAGTTGCCAATGCATTGTTCTTAGTGAGTTTCCTAAAATGCACGTTTGCTTAGAAAATGATATGTCTTTAAGAGGAAATGTTTATGCATACTAGGTATAATTGTGTTGGCTCTGAGATACGCCCACCAATGAGAACATCATGGCATGAATAATCTCCAACAGTAGACAAGCAAAACCAGGAGCTGTCGGGATGAGGAAGCCCCATGGTACACCTTCTCAGGAGTGTGGTCCCTCATTCCCCTTGGGCCAGGCCAGTGTGAAAGTGAGCACGGTTTCCTAAGTTCAGGGGGTGGGTCTGTGTGGTCTTGTTACCTGGAGATTTGGTAACAGAGGGTCTGTGTGGTCTTGACTTTTAGAATGGGTAACTTACACTATGGGGGTGTCTTGTTCTAAGGGCACAGGAAATGGCCTTAAATTGGGTGCCCTTTGAAGACATTAGAGTGGTAGCTTTACCTACATCCTCCCTGAGGATCCATCCCCAAAGAGTGCGGTGAAAGAGGCCCTGGACAAAGGGGAGTTCTGGCTGCTACCGGGAAAGGGGCAAATAAAAGTTAAGCAGCAGAGGATTCTTTAAAAAAATAAATAAATGTGTAAAAATTGATTTTAGAGGAAATAAATTGAAGCTGGGGAGTGGAGGGGAAAGGATGAGGGACATGGGATATTATAATGGGGTGAACATATCTAGGGGGGAGGAATATGGAAGGAGTAAAGGAAGGAAGAGGCAGGCCCAGGCCAAAAGAGATGGCGAGGAAGGAGAGGTAAGCAAGCCAGGGGCACCTGGGAAGCAAGACACACACACACACACACACACACACGCACACACATGCATGCACATGCATGTGTGCACACCTACTCACATCCACTCATGCATGCGTGTGCACACACACACACACCGCAGATGCGCATCTTGGAGAGCGACAGCGGCCTCACTGCATGCACTCAGACCTCTCAGTTGGCTGGCTTGCAGGCAGCTCCACGGTAACACCCAATTTTCCTGATGCCCAAATTGCTAAATTCTTGCCACCCTTTATTCTTTGGCCAATTTATTCATCCTAAAAGTGGCTCCTGGACCAAACTCACAGAGCTGCTAAGGGACAAGGGAGAGCCCTTAATGACAAGGGCAGAACATTCTTTCCACTGGCATGTGGGTCCCCTTAGAGAACTGCCTGTTTTGGGCTCTGGGCCTTGCCCACCACTACGGGGAGCTTCGTCCTTCCATGGACAGGAAAAAGGCTCCACGGCCATCCTTCGGTGGGACATGAAGAAGCATCATTTTAAGGTTGTCTCGGCTCACTGTTAAGATAGAACAATATAGGCTTGTGGTGGACCCACTGGAGCCCCTCTGATGGGGGCCCCCAGGCATGAGGTGGGGCAAAGTCTGGGAGTGCTCTTGGCAGCCACCGGGTGTGGGGGGTTTGCACATCTCCAGCTTCACCTTCACAAGCAACAATGAAGCTTCTAACCAGAATGTCGTGTAGGCCCCTCGGCCTTTGACCGTGTCCAGAGTGTCAGTATTCTGAGCTTGCAGCCATCAGAAAAACTGTCCACGGCAAAGTGCTGACACTGCTCGGACGTTCCTTTGTTTTGGAGGCTTTATTACCAAGCCCTCACATCACCCCCTAAAAGTGCTGTTAGGGCTGGTGCTTAAAGAGGTCTGAATGAGGAGGGGAGATGTTGGGGGTACTCTTCCAGGACTTTCTGGCATCCTGAGAGTCAAATCTCTTGCATGATCCAGAAACCTGCTTTTTGGAATAAATCAATATGGTCTTATGGATTCAAAGAAAGTTCATACGACTTGACTGTTTTCTGGACTTGACTTTTACTAAGAGATACATTGCTAATTTATATATGGGATGGGGGAAAGTGTGTAAAACCTGAGAAAGGGGAAGTGGAGAAGAAATATTTCCCACTGATTCCTGAGGTCTTCCTGGCTCGTTCAATGACCTCGGTTCCTTAGACATCAGAGCCTCCAGCTCCCCACCTCCCCTCCATGGGTGACAAGGGCATCGGCCTGCCCTGCCTCCACCTCTAGAGCCACACAGTCACCGTTACTCCAAGGACTGGCTTTGCAGCCTTCAAATGGCTCAGTGCCTCAAGCCAACTGAAAAAGTCTTAAGAAGCAGGTTTAAAAAGTATGAATTGAATATAATAAAGTCAGAACACTTTGGAAATAAGTTAGAAAGGAGGTTAGTATGCCAACTAAGAGGTGGAATGATCAACTTTTTAGTGGCCTAAATTCTTTGATGCCACAGTAAAGAAGGCAGGCTTTCCAGTCTGCCTTAACAGGCTGGCGCAGCTCTGGAAGTAGGTCTGTTTCCCCCGGTGGTTTCTAGACTTGGTCTTCCCATGGACGGTCTGGGAGGGGTGGCTCTGCCTGCTTCTTTTTGTTTACAGAATATATGGGACAAATTGAGTTGCTTTTGACCAGCTTCCAGAAAGGAGAATTTAAGGATAGAGAAGTGCTCAATAAATACATCTTAAATTGAAGAGACTGGAATTGGTGCCAGACATAAGCATACAGATTCTGGCAATTTCTATTCATGGACACGGTCATCAGTATTCTAGAAGCCTGGGTTCCAGAAGCCACCCGCTCTGCCTCTAACACTCTGTGGGAACCCAGAATATCTTATCATCGTTCTGGGCCTTGTTTCTCCATCTGTTCTCCCCACTCCTTCTCTTCTACCTCTAAGACCCTTGGATATCGTGACCCACTAGAAGACACTCCTGGGCCTCTAGGGGGTGTGCGTCACACTCTGAGGACCACTGTGATGAAGCAGCAGATGAGACATTCTAGAAAGGAACCCAACGGTCATATCTTGGTTAGATGTAGTTAAATGATGCCTGCTTGGCCCAAATGTGTCATGTGTCACATACATGGCATGCGTCATATACCATCACATGGTGAGGAGTGCTGTGGACATTCAATAACTGTGTCCTGGTGAAGACGGCAGAAACCAAAGGGAGAGCAAGGAGCCTCAGAAGGCACAATTCGTTTCCTAGTCTTGCCGACTCTTTCCAAGAGAAATAATGGCTACGATTCTTTTTAAAGGATTGGCTGCTTGCAATAGCTGTCTGCTTGTTCTTGGCAATGAAATTTATTTTCTCTCTCACCAGTAGCCTAGAATGCCTGGTGAAACTAATTTCAGAAGGCTAGGACTAGGTAATGATGGATTTAAAAATATCATTTAGGGGCCCATTATCCGGGCAACACAGGGAGAGCTGGGCACGTGACTCCTGTTACTGGATGGCAATGCTAATCTGATGGTCACTGTGGGATTCAGTCTCCCCTTGTCATGAGGAAAAATACATGCTTCAATTTCAGGATAAGGCCCCAGGCTCCCTGCACGCCATGGATTAAGCCCCTCATTATAATGCCTTTTAATTTAGGACGATTTATCAGGAAAAACTGTATTTGCCATGTTGGGTCAGGAATCGCCAATTGATCATTCCACCACATCATGAAGACATTAGTAACCAGAGCCAAAGTGAGGGGTTCAGACTCACCCGGTTTCCTTTGTCCCCGGGTGGTCCATGTAAACCCTGCAGTAAATCAGAGAAATGAAGACATGTTAATGAGAACACACAGGACGGCCATACGGTCCTTCCTTCCAGCCTCATAAAGCTCTTCACTGATGCCTAATTCATCGGAGACAAGTTTAATTATCCCCATTTTACAGAAGGAGGACGAAGGAGAAAGCTGCTCAAGGAACTTGACCTAGAGAGAAATCATGAGTTATGGGCCAAGCCAAGAACACGGTTCTGGTTTTCTCGCTCTGCAGCCAATGCCCTGGCCTGTGGCCGTGTTCTTGTAGATCACTCATGCTGAGGAGTGGTGGGTGCTGAGGACACGGTTTGGGCGTGCAAGCTGCTCTCCATGTCTCCAGCTAGGGGAATGAGCAAAGACTAGCGGAGTTGTCTGCTTAGCCAGAGCAAAGCGGAGCATGGAACTGGTGAACAGAAGTACAACCTTCAAGTGGTGGGAGACAAAAGTGCTGGCTCTCTCAGGCAATCAACTTTTATAACCAAGCAATGGGAAAATCTGCTGCAAATGGAAAGCCAGGCCCTTGGGAAAGCTTCTCCTCTCATAAAGCGTCTCCTTCTTGCATTAGAGTGATCTGGATTTGATTCTGCCCCTCCGTGAGGGCAGGGGCCATGGCACATTCATCTGTGAGACCCCCCGCTGCATGGAACTCAGAGGCTTGTGGTGGAACAGGCTCATGATGTGTTTGCTACATCCCATCAGATGGGCCACACAGCTGAGGACCAGATCCCCCAACAGGGGCATGGTTTCCTCAAGCAGTGCCCAGCAGGGAAGTTGTAGCGTGGTAGACCAGTTGGCTATTGGCAGCTTCTTCTGTCATAGAAATGAGAATTCTCACTTGGCCCTAGATTTTTCTCTCCAGGCTCTGGGTATTCTGTTTTGACAGTGCTTCTGTTGGGGGGCGGGGGTGGGTGAAGAGAAACCTCTGATCCCATGAGACTTACAGGAAGCCCAGCTGCTCCCGTTGGTCCTGTCATTCCAGGGTCACCTTTGCTGCCCTGAAACAGAAGGAAACCCATGAGCCCTCCCTGACGTGGTAACAACTTTCCATCAACCATTTTCTGTTTTTGTATAAAACCCGGGAAACTTCTCCAGTCCCCTTGAAGAGCCCTCCAGGAAGCAAGGGCTGAGCAGAGGGTGGGGTGACCAGTGTGGACTCTGACCTGGGGAGGGGGCTTGGAAGACCCCTTCACTCTCCCTCCAGCACAGCCTATCCCCTAAGACCCTCCGGAAGGCCTGGGCAGTGTCCTGGGGGTACTGGCTGGCTGGACGCAGAAGCAGTGGAAGAGAACAAGGAGCAGGAAATGGGCATGGACAAGGAAGAGAGACAGGGAAGAGAAAGAGAGCTTTGATTTCTTCCTAGAAGCTGCAAGTGTCAGCCCTCAGAGCTGCCACCCTGGTTTCCTAAGTGGCTGGCGATCTCAGGGAAGCCTATGCCCCCCACCCTCCCCACCATCTTCAGAATTCCCCACCCTCCCCACCCTCAGCTGTGTGGTATGAGAGCAAGGGGGATAGAGCCTCCCCTGGGCGAAGTCGGCAAGGTGGGCAGACAGCGAGAGGGGGATTGCTGCTTACACAGGCAGAGAGCTCAACGGATGCCCACTCAGAGGTCCAGCGCCCGAGCCGGCCCTCCAGCCATCCCACGCCCTGAACGTGTGGAAACTGGGGCCTGGCTGGGAAGAGCCGATGTGGAGAGGACACGCAGCTCTCCTGCCTCCTCTGAGCCAAGCCCTCCACCCTTGCCTTGCATGCGCCCACAGCGCGGCTGCGGGAACCGGCCTAACGCCCTGGCCTCCTGACTTCTTGGTGTCCCCAAGATTTTTTAAAACCACCTGGCATTCTCTCCGTGCTGTCTCTAAATCATACACAAAGTTTAGGCATGTCTGGCCCCAACAGCCCCTGGGGCCTTGCCAGATGGAGCCTGTGACTGACGCCAGGTGACAGAGGCTGAGTGGAGGAAGCTCTCCAAGTCTCTGTCCACTCGTGGCTACAAAGTGAGCCCCCCAAGCCTGCCCGGCTCCCCCACTGGCTGCCGTGAGGATCAGCAGTGGAGATGGATGGAGGTGCTTGCTGGTCTAGGAGGAACGGATGAGGGCTGAGGCTGACATGGTGACCCCGTGGGTCACAGGCGCCAGGGCTGAGGACCTGAGGCTGAGGAGGGGTGGCCGGTTCCCTCCCCCGGGTCGCCCAGGCCCCCAGCTCCCTGAGCACTCACCCTCTCGCCCTTTGGTCCCGCTGGGCCTGGAACTCCAATTGGTCCTGGAGTACCCTGGGGAGTGAAAGAAAGCAGAGATGAGGGTCCTGACGCTGAGGGAGCCCTGGGAGCCCCGCCCGACGCCTGGAGATGAGCAAGTCCAGAGGCCCAGTTTTCAGGGTTGGCGAGGCCAGGCTTGTTCAGAGCAGTCATTCGACTGGGCTGCGTTCCTGTTTGGGTTTGGGGTCCTCGGGGAGAGAGAGCCTCCCCCTTCCTCAGAGCCAGATTTGAAGAAGGAAACCCTTCTGCTTCACAACCAAGCTTGCCAAGGCTGAAAACGGTAGGAGAGCAGTTGCTTATCTTGCTCCCAGAAGCGCTTTGGAGGGAGTTGACGCCATCCCAGGGTTGAGGGGCTGGGGGCTGGCACCCTTTTGCTGTCACAGCTCCACATGCAGCGGGAGGGTCTTCATGCCACAGAGACCAATGCAGACGCACACACAGAGGCAGGCGTGGGAGGGTCATAAGCCACCGCCCACCCCATCTACCACCATTGCTGCCTGGCCCCAGCCTTCAGCCTCTGGCTGGGCCTTCTGTCCTCGCTTCCAGGCCCTACGGAACAGGCTGGACTGGAGAGTGAGTTAGTATGCCTTGGAGAGCTGCTGACACTGGCCTGGCAGGGAGGTGTGCCATAAGCACTCCTGACTCAGGGCTGTGGGGGATTGGGGTGGGAGGGGCGTTGGGGCAGCTGGGGTGACAGGAGCTGTGTTGCTTAGAGATGGAGTGGCACAATTACACATCCTCCCCAGGTTCCCAATCTACAGCCCAATGACATGGAGTCTGTATTTCAGAGCTTCCTATTGCTCTGCCTCAGTGTTTCTATTTCCTGCTCAGACGAGGACATGAGGACGCGGGGCTGGGCCCGTGGGCAGTTCCCGGTGGCGCTCCGGGTACAGCTGTGAAAGGCGGGGCAGGAGCAAGTGGGGAAATGCTGATTTCCTTTACGTGAGAAAAAAAAAAGAACAATGAGACGTTCTCGTGCCCCCTTTGCTACCACCAGAGAAAAAGGAAAGCTGTGGGCATCTGGGACACAAGAACGTCAAAAATGAATGAGCCAGATCAGGGTGATGGTTCACAACGGCACTCCAGAGGTGCTGGCCACATTCTAGTCCTGCCTCGAGCGCTATAAACTCTGTGATATGGGAGAAGTTTCTTGGCCTCTCTGAGGGTCAGCTTTCCCACGTGTAAAATGGGGATGAAAATGAATGTCTGCCTCCTAGGCCGCTGTGGGGTTAAAATGGATGAATGCCTGTCACGCATTTGGCATTGGGCCTGACGCCTAGGAAGTGCCCAGTAAATGTTAGTATTGGCAGAGCAGTACTATTCTTCCCATAAACATTTTCCTTTAAGGTTGTGATCTTGCTCTTACGAGAAAAATAAAACCTCAGGTCCAAAGGGGACAGAATATATGAATTTGCACTGCTCCCCTCTGTCCAACATGAATGGAACAAGTAGTTGAGAGGACAGTCTTGTTTCTCTGATTCCAGCTACAGATCATCCTCCAGCCCTGACTAGCCACCTGAGACAGGTGTGCTAGGTGCTAGGAGGAGGGAAAGGGAGGCCCTGTGATGGAGAAGCAAAGCCAAAATAATGCCTGGAAAATGGGTATATTCTCTGTATGTGAGAGTCTATAGTATCAACTCCATAAATGCATGGGGGGAGGGGCTCAGAAAAGATGTCATCTTGGGCAAGCCATGTCACCTCCTCTTCTTTACGAGGGCACAGAACAGGCCCGCAATAGGACGAGCCTCCGAGTGGAGTCACTGTTGGTCTTCCCCCTCTCCAAGCTCTAGGCTTCTGTTGGGGTCAGTTCTGAGGCCCACCTCCAGGCCACAGGAACCCTGCTGCCATTGTGCTTTGACACCTCCCTCTGCCCCATGTGCATGTCCTCCCCTCCACACAGGAACCCCTCTGCAAGCCCTCGTCTTTCCTGTGTCACTCTAGCCAGCTCGTTAGAGCCTCGTCTTCTAAGCAGATCCTGCATCTGTTGGCCTCAGGATTGTCCTGAAAGGGCAGAGCTGGGGCTCACTGGCTGGAAGGGGCTGGGCACATGTTTAGCTCTGGTTACGGCTCCGGAGCAGGGGGGTGCAGCCTCCTGGCCCTTGCTGGTCAGTGATCCCTACACCACGGGAAGGTGACAGGCTTCCATCAGGAACGCCACTGCCCTGCAGGCCCACGCGGTGGTAAGGACTGGAAGGTGGAGGGGGGGCGTTGTTTATGATGCTTTAGTTGTTTCTCACAAGAAGAAGGCCAGGTGCTTCTTAGTCATGAGTAGCCTGTTTTCTGGAATCAGGAAGAATGGATAAAGAGGGGACCCAGCGTCCCTCCTTTGCTTTGTATAAACCCATCTGTTGGGGTGCAGGGCAGCTGTGACACCACAGGAAGTGAAAGGTGTGGTTGTGACATGTCCACAGAACACAGAGCTGGGATTGGCCTGTGTGATCCTAAATGCTACACCTGCCCTCACCTTTCAATCTGTCCCCACCCCCCTACACGCCAGATTGGTGGCTGCACAGGACTAGGAAGCCCTCGTGGGCAGACAGGAAATGAACAGAGCAGGAAGACAACACAGCATGACGGGCACATACAGACACTGTTGTGTTTGCTGGGGATGTGTCATGGATCAAACCTCTAGGGCTGGGCTCCTAGGCTGAACTCAGCATTCCTTTAGGAACAGAGTCTGTGCTGCTGGAGTGGCCTCCTTCCCCATGCCCAGCAGTGTGGAAATTCAGATTTGAGGACCTTGAGTGCATACTATGGACAGGGGAATTCAGATGAAGGCCAGCTGTCTTTGGTCAAGAGGCCTGAATAAGCACTTCTGAACTGAGCACAGTTGGTACCATTCTGGTGTCAGTGGTGGGATAAGGCATGACTCACTGGGAAAACGAGGCCACAGCGGGACAGACGAGAGGGAACACAGGCTGGGGGTGGGGTGGGGTGGGGTGAGAGATAATGGAGAAGTGACACTCACCGGTGGCCCAGGCCTGCCGTCCAAACCTGAAGCTCCCTGGACGAAGGGAACAGTTTGACCAAAAGAAGGGGAAGGGAGGAACGGGAGGGAGAAAAAGGGACCGGGGAGGGAAGAGGTGAGTGAAGCAGTGACTCTGGACAGACATAAATGCTGGTAATCAAACAAAACGGGAGAAATAAGCTTAGGAGGACAGGTGATGGTATTCACATGGAAACCAACAAAAACATGGAGACACTGAATGCAGTGTGGCCAACTGCTGAGCAGGCTAGGTTGAGATCAGTGCAGATGGCCGTTCTGATCCTCTGTGCCCTCCTTTTATCCCTTCTCAGAAGTCCCTCTCCCAAGGGGTTGCAGTGCTCCAGGGAAAGGGATACAGAAAGTGAACTCATGGAGAGGTGTCTGGAACCAGAGCTGGCACACTCTTCCCAGGACTAGTCTCACTGGGGAGGAACAAGCCTATATGGAGGTGGGGCCCTGGTGAGGGTGGTCTTTCTAATCTCTTTTGCACAGCTGTTGAGACTAGGCCACATTGGGGAAACCCAAGAGGATCAGAAGTGAGTTATAGCACCTGGTTTTGAAACCCGGGTAGAAGCTGGCCTACTTCCACTTCAGCTGGGTGGGAAGAGTTGGCCCTTGAATGATAATCCTAATGATGCCTGACATCTGTCTGGCACTTCACAGTTTTCGAAGGTCAACACAAACTCAATCCATTTATATTATCCCAGACAAGGGCTCTGTTATAGGAAAAGGCTTTGGGGGCAGCTGACTGGGACAGAGGTCTCAGGCCTTGTATCCCTTGGAGTAAACTGGCTGGCAGGCAGGATGCTATTAAGACCCACACCATATGCAGCATCCTGTTCTATGCAGTGGGAATGGGAGCTCTTGCTCCAATGCTGGGTTATGAAGCTGCCCCTGTGACTCACCAGGAGAACCAGGGGGAAATTATCTAATGATTCCAATGTGACAAACCAGGGAGAAGGCAGCGGGGGCACTCTGGCCCGGTAAGGACTGAGTTTTTGAAAACTGCTTCCAACTGAGCCGCAGAAATGAGCTTAGGCCTCAGGATTTGAAAGGTGGGGCAATGCCTCCAGGAAAGGGAGGGCAGGGAGCTGCTTCCTCCTGGGGAAAGTGTGTTAGGTAGCAGAATCCTACAGGGCCTCGCTTCTCAGGTGTAGGACCACGTAATTCTGGGACAGTCTTGACTCATAGTCTACAGAGCTGTGGTTCTCAACCCCGGCTGCAATATCAGAATTTTCCAGGGGTGATGTAAAATAATACAGATGCCCGCGCCCACCCCAGCCCAATTTAACCAGAGTCTCCAACAAGGAGGCTGGGGTAATGGCATGTTTGAAAGGCTGCAGGTGACTACCTGTGCAGCCAGTGTTGAGAACCACTTCTGTAGGGCAAATAGGACCTCAGTAGGATATGCCTAGAAAAACAGGTTGCTACTATATGGAATAAAATATTGAGGTGAAGCCTAAAATTAGAACTTTAGCTAAATATCCACAAACTTTGTCTACGTAGCAGTATACTGAGTTATCTGGAGCAGAGGGCATGAACTGGAGGTCTTCAGCCCATATGTGGGCCACTGACATATTTTGTATGGTCTATAGCATTGCAAGTAATTTTGATTTAATGTTAGAAAATGGGAAAGATTTCATGTAAAACACCAGACGTCAAGCTGCTTTTGAAAAATTTGAAATTTTTCAGAAATACTGGACCCTCGTTTCCCCAAGGCGACAGTCAGCTGAACTGAGAAGGGGCTGGTCTCTTAAAGAAGGGACACATGGTCCCCAGTGTACCATAGTCCCCACCACTCCCTATTGTGTCCCTGAAGTCCATGTTAGTTGCCGTTTATGAATATGCTTGCTCTGTTATTTTCTTAAGATAGCAAAAGTATTTCTCTATAGCCATGTCTCTAACAAAAGTTGAAAAATTAAAGATAGACTGGGTACTTTGTCTTTCCTCTGGCACTTTTTCTGTTTATATTACCTGTTTGGTCTCCATGCCATTTCCTTTTCAACCCCTGACTGAATTCTCCGGTGTTCACTAGGGTTGTTGGGGCCATGAAGGTGGACGTGGAGAGAGTTGTGGTTGAGTGGGGGCAGGAAGTCTCTTTAATAGTAAGGAGCACTTAATCATTTCGCACACAGCTTAAGACATGGGAAAATGTCTGCGAAAGTCATCAGTGTTCTGTAGTCTGTCAAGTGAATCAGCTCCGGCAATATTCCTGCATTTGATGCACTAATGAGGCTGTAATCATACCTTTAGCTCTAGCTGTTTGGTTGTTGCGATTATATTAACCAGACCTTCAGGCTCTGCCAAGCTGGGGTAATTGGGCTTCCCATTGTTCCCCTGCTCTTTACGGCTTCCTGGGGTGGGAATTGGCCTTGTGCCCAGGACAGAGGAAGCCCCAGTGGCTGGAAAGAGCCCCTTTTTGAGGCCATGGCCTCAGTGGAGGAGCAGCCTCTGGCCCGGCCCAGCCACCGACTTCATATGGGACCTCAAGTCACTCACTGCCTTCTCTGGGCCAATCAGTAAAATGATTAGATGGATCGCTCAAGTCCCTTCCCGATCTTGAAAAGCAAACCAAAAGGAGTGCCAATCTCACTAGGGGGCGAGGGATGTTGGAGCCCAGGGCTCCAGGATGGGTGTTGGGATTCGATCACCTAGACACAGGTGAGGCAGTGATGAGGCCATCAGCCCACGGGAGCTTGGGGCAAAGGATTTCCCTAGGCCAGGCCCCACATCTGGAAATGCAGATGCCTTCTCAGCAGCTCACCCCCCTGACCTGGGGTCTTTAGCCGAGACTAAGATCAGAGATCTTGGGAAACCAGGATCTGAGTGGCTTTAGCCTGCTGGGACCAGAGAATCTGACTTTTTACAAGCTTTTCTGCTGCAGCCAGTGCTTAAGAGCAGAGAGCAGGGCTCTCTTGGGGTCCCTCAGGGAAAACAGGAGAGAGATGGAGAACACTCCACTGTCCCATCGCTCCCAAGTCCTCCAAGCTTGGCCCCTGTAAGGGCAGATTTTAATCAGCCACAATTAGGGCCTGAGGCTGTTGTCAGGCCACCTCTGACTCTCCAGCTGGGTGCCCCTTGGGGTGGGGGACCCCATCTTTTTCAGCTTCGAATTCCCCCCACACCTAGGCCAGGGCCTGCCCAGAGGAGGACTTCAATGAGAGAATTAGAGCCCACGGTCTTGCCCAGTTGGGAAAGCAAAACCACATGGAGTTCTGGAATGCTCAGAACTTTAGAACCTCGAGTTTTCCAGTGGCCTTCTCCCGGGGGCCTGCCTCATCAGGATCCTCATCAGGATCAGCCCGCTGGGCTCCTCACAACAGTCTTGCTGGGTCCAAGATACTTACGGGTAATCCCAGAGGACCTCGGTCTCCTTTTTCTCCCTGGACACCCTTCTCTCCTTTTGCTCCATCTAGTCCTGCTTCCCCCTGAAGGAAAGGGAGAGGGGGGACATCACAGGAAGGCAGGTCCCAGACCACATGCATTCTTGCATCCTGGGGGCCTGGAGACAGGGGCGGGAGGTGGTGGTGGGGCAGGTAGAGGAGGGGCGGAAGGAGGAGGTGGAGGTGGCTGGCCCAAGGGTGACAGGCTAGGGCCTCCAAGGATGCTTGAATTCTTAGGCTGGCTCTGCCTTGGCTAGGGTCCCCTGCATCCCTGTGGTAACTTTGAAGTTCCCAAAGGGATAAGGGATGAGTAGAGTGGAGACAAACCCACAGGGCAGTTCCAGGTCAGGCTTTGGCACAGGTGACCGTTTGCATGGCAGGAAAATTGGGACCCTGCAGAGACTGGCTGGCAGATGCCTGAAATGCCACCACTGGAGCTCCAAGGCTCCCAAAGTAATCGGGAGAAGATACTGCCCAATAGTCCCCTGAAGAATGTCAGGGCAGGAGGCAAGGGCTGTTGTCATACCAGCAGCCTCCAGCCGCCTTATTCATTTGAAATGCTTTGGGGGGTTGACTGGGAGAGCCCCAGGTCAGAGTCCAGTGGGCTTGGTCCCCGGGAGGGACCAAGCTATGCCACTCTCTGTCTCCCACCGAACTTCAGGGTGAGTGAAGAGTCTGGGGGCAGGTTACGTGGGAAAAGGATTTCATCATTTGCTAAGAATCTAACCTGTGACTCTATAGGGTCGACTGATGGATGGGAAAAGTCTAAACGCAAAGCACGCCAGGTGTCAATGATGGACGTTAAAGGGACCATACGACTTCATTCTGTCCTGATTGTACCCCACTGGCCGGAGTGTCACATGATTCCATTTAGGGAAGGGGTCAGCTGGGCTAGCCGCCCCAGAAGCACCTTCCCTCTTTTCTGCCCTCACGGATGTGGCCCTCTTCCCACCCCTGGCCCGCACCTGTCACATGACCTCTTCTTACCTTTGGTCCAGGAACACCTTGGAGCCCCTGCATTTGGAATCAAAATAAGGCACTTCAGAACTGCATTTCTGGTTAAGTCAACTTGCTTGTCCACAAGTTGGACCATAAAAGAGCAAGGGCTTCAGGCGCAGAGCCTGGCCTGGGGTCCCAGCCCAGGGGAGGTGGAAGGGAACGCTAAGAGGGGCCATGCTTGGGGCTCGCTGGGGTGGGGTCTGAGCCAGGCTTCCCTAGCCAGGCACTGACAGGGAATCTCTCTGTGGCCCCCATGGCTGACCCAGAGTCTCAAGAAGAGAAGATTAGGAGAGACCACAGGAAAAGTTAAAGAAATTAATATGTGCAAAGTGCTTAGAGCAGTGTCCGGCACATAGCAAGTTTCAATAAATGTCGGCTTCTATCATTGTTACTACTTCTACTTCTACTAATGACAATGGGCAACACAGTGCCACGGGGACCGTGACCTCTGCAGAGGGAAGGACCAGCATCTGTTGGTTTGATGCTTGAGGGCCCTCTAGGTGCAGTGCAAAGGGGTCCTTTTAAAGGCCTCATCAACTGTAACCGTGGAAAGGCCAATCCAGAGGGGCTGGTTCTAAATGGATCACTTCCCATTTTAATCCTGGCCGTCATCCTGGCTGGTTAGCAGAAGAAGGAAGGGGAGGAGCAGATGTCTGAGGGTAAAGGGCAGAGCTTAGTGACAGAGTGACTCCTGCAGGACAGGGGTCCAGCCCCTGGGCTGCCAGGCCAGTCGACTGTTTCCAGGAAACTGGGCAATGCCCAGGCTTCTCGGTGTCACCAAGGTGTCTGTTTAACATGGGAGGCAGGAGGAGCAGGGAGGGGTTTGTGGATGAGAAAATCCTACCCTGGGAGGAGAAGATGATCGTGACCTACTGAGGCCAGTGACTGCTGTGGGGAGGGGATGTTAGGGACTAATCCCAGTGGACCAAAATGCTGACAAGCCCTCCAAACTTACCGGAGGTCCGGGAGGCCCCTCTGGCCCTGGTGGCCCAGAAACCTAGAAGCCAAAGGGAGATGGTTAGCCCATCCTCTGTTACACTCTAAGGGGCCCTCCCTTTTCACATGGCCTGGGGTCCAGCTGGGGACTGCAAAACCAGAGGAAGACAGAACTGCCTAGCACACAGTCTCCAAAAGAAGGCTTAGAACAGGTCAGAAATTCATAGCAACTCATTAGCTTGCACAATGTTGAAAAAAAAAAAAACCATTGCCAGGAAATGCCCCCAAAACAGCTATGCTTCCATGTTTTCTTGAAAAACCAGAAAACCCGGCAGCACTAGGTTCTTGTTCACGCATGGCAACAATTGCCTGGAGCTGAAGAAGAGCTTTCCCCTCCACATGGGGCACGAGATCTTCAGTTTACCCCAGTCCCCATCACTCCCTATTGTATTTCACTTGGACCTTTATGTTCATTTGTTGAATGCCTGGCCCTTGTAGGCATTTGAATTCGAGACCTTTGGCTTAGAGGAGCAAAGACTGGTTATCTGGAATGGGGGGAGGCTGAGATGTTTCTGAAGAATACATCTCAAGTCCCCTCAAGTTTGTAACAGAGGCTGCTGGTCTCTGTTTCCCTTGGAGGCAGGTTGAAGTAGAAGAGATTCAGAGTGGCCAGCGAAGATGGAGGAAGCCAGGGCCCTCTTCCTTTCTGCGGAGGGCGGTGTGCACTGCAGATTCTGTCTCTGACAAAGAGGGACATCCATTTATCCACAGTCGGCCACCCAAGAGGCAGGAAGGAGAGCTGCTTGCTCCTGTCTGAGGCTGGCCCTTGGGCCAGCCTTCCCAGGGTTAGAATCCCCTGGAGTGTGGCCAGTGCAGGGACCCGTGTGCCAGCGCACCATAGAGGGAGACCCTGCACCGGGCAAACGGGGCATCTCCAATGTCCCTTGGACCTGTGGCCTTCTAGCTCCGTAATACTGCAGTCTGCTTGTAGGGAACTCAGTCTGTGGACACTCCACTTTCTTATAAAAAATTGTCCTGCTTTTTTTCTTATTATACATAATTCCTTATCCTGATTGTGGCAGTGGTTATACAAATCTATGCACATTCTAAAATTCACAGAACTGTACGCACTCCCCAATGTCAGTTTTACTGTATGATAATTTAGAAAATAAAAAATTTAAAAAGAATACAGCCTTATTAAAATATTTAATAAATTCAAGAGAATTGAAAGAAGGAAAAAATAAATATCTCTGAGTAATGCTAATATTTTGCTTTATTCCCTTCCACTCTTTTTTGATGCATAAAATGTATTTAAATATATGTTTATATTTCTGATGGTATTATATATATCATTTGGTTCTCTGCTCTTTTTCACTTAACTCGAAACCCATTTTTCCATTTTTTTGTATGTTCCCCAAAAGCCTCCTTTTAACGTTGATGGGCTGCTGGTTGAGTGGAATGAACGTGAGTTATGACCTAGCAGGGCTGGGAGCAGAGCTTGGCACAAGCACAGCTCTCCAATATGAGGACTATTACTACCATTAGTATTGTTACCATAAGTTATTGAATCATTTCCTTCTTGTTAGAAATGTAGGCTGTTTCCAATTTTTACTTTAAATACTTCTGGAAGGAACATTTTTGTGTATAATGCCTTTCCTGAATTTCAGAGCATTTCTTTACGAGGCCATCCATCTTCAAATAAGTAACATACATGTTATATAATCAGCTCTGTTTCACTAAATGCAGACAGGGCTTGGCGACACTGAAGGGTGACAGGGGCCAGGGGACCTCTCCAGGGACTGAGAAGACTTGGCATTCTCTCCCTTAGCTCTGCGGTGGTGTCTGGGTGGCCCAGGCCCTCCCACCAAACAGCCTCTCCCTCTCGTATCCTTGACCTCTGCTGCTTTCCTGGCTCTTTCCCCTGAGCCTACAAATATGCCCGCTTCCCTCCCATCTTATGAGAACCTGGCCTCTGTCCTCGATACCTCTTACTCTACTCTTTCCTCCTCTTCCCTTCACCACCACACTGCTTAACAGAATAATGCCTCTGTCTGGAAACCCTGCCTCTGGAGCTTCTAGGCAAACTCCTACAAATTAAAGTCTTCAAGACCCTGCTCAAATGACCCATCTTCTGGGGTGCTTAGCTGACTCCCTGAGCAGCTGCCATCCTAGTGCCCACTACTGGAGATGTTTGCTACACAGGGATGGTTCTGTTTATTTTCTGAAACATGGCGGGTGCTCTGTGAAGGCCGCTGAGGGACTTGCTTAATGGGGAGACTGTGGAGCAGACCTGAGGCTCCACGGCAGACCCACCGTGGTGCTCAGAAATGCTCAGCTTCTCGCCCCCTCCCCCTGTCAGGCAATGGCGAGTGTCATTTTAGAGCACGGAAATGCTGTGCTCACTGGAGAGATCATGGTGTGATGAGGTCCCTGTCAAACAATCCTGTGACACAAAAGGCAGAGCAGGCACAACCTACCTCCACTCCTGGGTCACCCTTCTCCCCGCGTTCTCCTTTCTCTCCCTGTGGGCACAAAACACCGTGGCGTGGATGCCAGCACTCAGGGGACCCGGGGACAGACACAGCCTCAAATCTGTGACAAACCAGACTGAGACTAGACTAGGCCTAGGTGTCAGCAAGGGACACCTCGGAGGCTGTGGAGGTAGTTAGCCTGAAGGACGAAGACCGGGGCGGGGGCCCTGTGATCACTGTCTTCAAGAATCCGAGGTTCCAGCATGTGGGAGGAGGGGCTGATATTCTGTAAGGATCGTGCGGGGCACAGACCCTAGGGTGGACCTGTGACTTGTTTCTAACCAATAGAATATGACATATGACAAACGGATGGGATGTGACTCCTGTGATTGTTACAAATTACAAACATCATATAAATGATACCATGTAACATGTTACAATTATGTTACAATTATGTTACACACACACACACACACACACAGAGCTCTGTCTTGCCAGCACACACTGAGAGACTCCTGCTGGCCTTGGCTTTGAAGAAGCAAGCTGCTATAACGTGATCTGCCTCCTACGGGGGGCCACGTGGCCGGGAACTGTAGGCGGCCTCTGGGAGCTGAGGGACTCAGTCCCACCACAGCAAGGAACGGAATTACGCCAACAGCAGTGAGCTTGGAAGAGGATCCCAGCTCCAGAGGAGAACGCAGCTGGCCCACAGCTCGACTGCAGCCTCACAAGGCCCTGGGCAGAGGAGCCAGGTGAGACGGGCCTGGACTCTTGACCCACAGAAACTGTGAGATAACAAGTGTGTGTTTTCAGCCATTAAATTTGTGTGATTTGTCATCAGCTACAGAAAATAAATATGGCTCTAGAAGCAGAGTGAGGGCCAGTGGGGGAGGTTGATGAGGAAGCTTCCACACCACACCAGGACCACTCCCTCTGGCCGGAGCCGCCCCACAATGGAGGGGCCGTGTCAGGAGGCCACGAGCTCCTGCCCATCCCAGCTGAGCCGGGCAGCCACGGTCAGGGGCTGCCGAGGGAGTCCTGCGCTGGGTCAGAGGTGGGACCGGCTGACTTTTGAGGTTCCTTGCACTTCTAAGAGGAGAATTCTCAGTCCAAGATCCCAGCACCTTTGAACTGGATTGGCGCCTGAAGACAGAGGCCACCGTGCTGTGAGCTGAAGAATCTGGAGGCCCTGTTCACACTCAAATGCCCCTCAGGGAATAGCTTCTCATTGGAGGAACCCCCCCTCTCCTCCAGGCCAGGTGGGCAGCCTGGGGGTTAGTTAGGCCTCACTGTAGCACCAAGGACCCACTGGGCTGGTGACCACAGTGAGGGGCGCCCCGCTCACATGCCCTCAGCTGCAGCTGCCTGCTGACAACCTCGACACCCGGCCTCTTACTGTAAATCCCGGGAGCCCGATGGGGCCAGGCAATCCTGTCGTTCCAGGTCTCCCTTGGCTGCCTGGCTCTCCTTTCTCCCCAGTTGGGCCGTCTAGACCCTACAAATAGACAAAGATCTCTGTTAATCAAGCGCAAGGGCATCACGCTGAGCGTCCGTGACCAGCTGTGGCATGCACGCATGGCTCCCTTCCTCCAAGGGCAGGTGTCTAGGATGGTGCCCATTTCACAGATGGAAAGCACTGAGGCTCAGAGAAGGCTTCCAAGTCAAATCAGCCACCTAACCGGACTGGGCTAAGGTCCCTTTTTTGTCCATGCAACCTCTTCTGGTATAGGGCTTCTGCATGCTTTCCTGAGAGGCAGATTTACACCCACGACCTCATCACCTTCCCAACAACGCAGCAAGGTATCCAGGAAGGCATTATTATCCCCATTTTAGAGATGAGGAAACTGAGGCTCTGCCTGGCTCAGAGACTTTCCCCAGGACCCAGACAGGAGATGACAGAACAGGACCCATGACTCTTGAGGTGGGAAACCGGCCTTCACAGAGCAAGTGGCTTGAGGGGAAACCGGGTGAGTCCTCAGCCCCCAGTTCCAGGCTCTGGGTTTCCAGCCCAGGCTGCAGCTGGCAGGGCGCCGTGTGGCGGTCATGCTGGGGGTGGCATGTGCATCGCTGGGCAGGGGTGTCTGGCAGCCAGCCCTGGCACTCACCGGTGGGCCTGCCTGCCCTGGCTCCCCTTTCTCCCCCTTCTCTCCTGGGCTCCCCGGGTGTCCGTCTTCTCCCTTCATTCCTGCAGGCCCAGCTTTCCCTGGAGGGCCTTGGGGACCAGGGGGGCCTGCGTCTCCTGGTTTGCCTCGAGGTCCCTTTAGAAAACATCAACAACACTTATTAGATACACTAATGGAGAAAAGGGGAGAGAGAACATGCAAGAATGGGAGGTGCACAGGACTCGGCTCTTCGTGCTTGATTGGGGCCAGGCAGAGAGCCCATCCCAGCGAGGCTCTGCTGGCTCCTGCGGGGCAGCAGTGTGGGGCTCGGCTGGGCTTCTGCAGGGTCCGTCCCCGCTCCCCTCCCCTTCTCCCTTCTCAAGGCTCACACCTGGGCCTCTTCCAGAGCCTTCTGCCCCTCACCCCCCAGAGCAAGGACCATCTTCAGAGGTTTGTCTGGGAGTGTCCTTACCTTTTCCCCATCGTGTCCTGGAGGGCCTGGCAGTCCAATCTCCCCCTGTAGCCAGAACAACTAAAGGTCAATGTCAGGCAGAGAAGAATGATCACCGTCACGTACGCAGCGCTTCCTGTGCGCCAGCATCCTCAGCGCTCACCCGGGAGGTCTGCGCTTGCACTGTCTCCCTTTTACAGGTGAGGACCCCAGGGCAGAGCTGTGTGCCCAGGCCTGCAGCTGGTGGACAGTGGAGCCAGACCCGGGTCCGGGCCTTCTGGCTCCACAGTCCACATTTTAGCCACAACCTTGCATGGCTGCCTCTGAGGGCCCTGGGCACTCCCTCCACTGCTCCATGGGTGGGTGTGCTTGCCTTCCTGCCTCCTCAAACCTAGCCCTCCTGTCCTTGCCACCCCACAGGCAGATCCCTTCTTCTTCACATCAACGCAAGCCCCTTCTTTAGTTCAGGGAGGGAGATAAAGGAGGCACGGCCTCTGTCTTTGAGGCCAGGCAAACAGCCAGCCGCATCACCAAGGCAAAATGATGTAGGTGCTATGAGAGTAGCAGAGAGGAAAGGGCAGTGAATACTGCCTGATGGATCAGGGGAGGCTTCAAGGAGGAGGCGGCTTTTGAGTTGGGCTTGAATTATGAGGACTTTGAAAGGTAGCGTAGAGGAGAAGGAACTTCAGGGCAGGGGCCCTCATGAGCAGAGGAGCGAGGGGCAAACATGAACGGCCTTTTGAGAAAAATCACAGGGGTCGGAGGCAGAGTATAAAAGGGAGCAAGGCAGGGAGCGAGGGGGGTGGAGATTGGGGGAGCTCAAGTCCTTGATGGCGAGCTGGGGTCCCTGCTGTGGGTCTGGCGGGGGCAGGGGCTCACCATAGAGGAGAGCATGTGAATTGCAGGAGCCCAGGACAGAGAGCAAGGGAAGGACGGCCAAGTGGAGGGTGGGAGGAGCGGGTGAGTAGGGCCCGCGGGGCTCGGAGCACTGGGAGGAACTGCAGGTCAGAGTGCGGTGGGGACTCTGGGAGGATGAGAGGGTCACAGGACAAGGGGCAGCTCTGGGGTCTTGTGCGCAGGGACACACAACGTGCCTCTGCAGGGTCTGCATCCCTCTTATGAAGACAAGTATTACCTTCTGGCCTGGGATCCCTGGAGCTCCGGGTGGGCCGATTTGCCCGGGAAGACCAGGGGGCCCCTAGGAAAGAAAAGAAAGGTGCGTGGAAGAACTTTCCGACTGAGGAGGGGTGGCCTGTTGCCAGAGGGGTGGCATTTTCAAACATTTTCAACATTTCTTCAGTGGCATGAACACTTTTTTGCAAAGAAAATAACACAGAGACCCAACAGTATAAAGCAGATAAGCACTGAGTGTGTCTGGGTTAAAGTGGGGGGTGGGGATCCTAGAGCCATGCCCAACAGCCTCTCCCTCCTCTTCCCTCTACAGCACCCCTGGGGACTCCTTGGGCTCCAAGAAGACAAATCTGACCTCCCCTAACAGCGATTTAAAAGTGTCTCCAGGAAAACCCAAATGTCCATCAATAGGTGAACAGCTGGTACATCCATTCAATGGAATACTACTTAGCAGTGAAAAAGGAACCAGGCATTGGTACATGCCATGTCATGGAGGAAACCCAGACACATTACGCTAAGCAAAAGAAGCCAGACACAGACGACTACCTTCCGTGTGATTCCAGTCACAGGAAACTCTAGAAAAGATAAATCTAATCTACGATGACAGAAAGCAGATCAGCGGTGGCCTGGGCTGGGGGTGGGTGTGGGATTGACTCCTCAGGCCCGTGAAGCAACTTTCTGGAGTGTGGGGGTGGTGGATACGGGAGTATATACATTTGTCAAAACTAATCAAACTCTACAACTAAAATGGGTACATTTTATTGTATGTAAATTATACCTCAAGGTTGATTAAAAAAAAAGAAGTTTTCAGCAAAGTTTGGCGTTCAATAGCTATTTCAAATAATATATTTTGATGTGCCCATTAAATGAAGCTCATTGATTCCAGAATCATGGGGTTAATACCAATTTCTGGGATTGGGGCATCAGATGATTGGTGTTTGATTCTGGGTTTGTGTCACCCTGAAGTGTGTTCTGTGGCACGTGGCCACTAAAGATATTAAGTGAAATGAAATTCCAGTAGTTTGAGAACTTTGTGATCTCCCGTCTCCTCTCCACCTGAAAGTTGAACCTGGTGGTAGTGGTTTTAACAACAACATTCACTGAGGGCCTGTTACCAGTAGGCATACGTGTGAAAAAAAAGGCCTGGAAGGCACTGGTTTTCTAGGTGCAGATAACGAAATTGATTTCTAGGGAGGGGAAATGTGGGGGTTGCTATTGATTTTTTAGGGTTATGGATTTCATTAGCTGAAGGTTGAGAAAAAGGAGAAATATAACAATACCCTCCCTTATACCGCTGCTTCCTTGACACAGCTGTAAATAGACCCCAGCATTTACACTATGACAAGAGTGCACAGCTGAACAGTGAAGAGCCCCTCCAGCAGACAGCCGTGACCCAGGGCGGGGGCAGCTCCCGAGACCCCCTGCTCCGGCTCAGATCACCCTCTGCCCAGCACCGCAGGGTCCACCCGAGCCCAGAAGGCCGTCGCCTGCTTTCTGGAGGTGAGACTTCAAGTCCTTGCTGGCAGGCTGCCCTCCCCCCAGCCCGGTGCCCGAGGAAAGCAAGGAAGGAGGAAGACTCACCATCAAGGCCAGCGTTCGGATCTCCTACAAGACCAACACCAAGCAGTCAGTTGAAGAGCAAGTCAAGAGCCACCTGTCGGGTGCCCTCGGCCCAGTCATGGAGACGCGGGAGCCGGGCCCTTCCAGGAGCACAGTAGAGGCAGACCCTCTGGGGTGGGCTCTGTGCCTCCCAGCCCCACACCACCCCCACCTCCCCCAGGGGTTTGTGATCACTGGGCAGAGAATACCCCACCTCTCACCAAGTGCTGCTCTGAGGCTGTCCGACAACGGCCTCAGACATGCCCTACAATGGCCCGCAACCTTCCCTCCCTACCAGAGCGGGAGTAAACAAACAGACGCGGTACAGCAAATATGGAACCATTCGAAAATAAATTAGAGGGACAACTGTTGGTGTTAAAAGGAATTTACACCTTGTAAATGGATTCACGCAGGTACAAAGATTCTATAAAGGAGTGGTTCTCAAAATGGGGCAATTTTTCCTCCCGGGGACGCTTGGCCATGTCTGGAGATATGTTTTGGTTGTTATAACTGGGGGTGGGGTGCTACTGGCATCTAGTGGGTACAGACCAGGTTTGCTGCTAACCATCCTACAACACCCAGGACAGCCTTTCTCCACAACAAAGATCATCCAGCCACAAATGTCAACAGTGCCAAGAAATCCTGCTTTAAAGGGTGGGTACCGTATGAACGTGAAATATGACTAAATTGACACAAAATGAGATGTATTTCAGAAAGACAGATTCTACCACACGAAAGAGGAGTGTGTACTGAAGAAACGGGGCCCCAGAACCCGGGATGGGCCAGCACCCCACAGGGTGCCAGATGCTTCAGTGACCGCTCTCAGTTATCCAGAGCCAGGATAATGGGCCAGCTGGATGCCAAATGAGGGGGTCCGTTTGCCTGGAGGCTGCACAGTGAGAGGCCAAAGGAGAAGAAGCAAGGGAGAGACTCTCCTGGAAGCTCTGCCCAGTGGCCTGGCCTCAGGGATGTTAACCGAGGTCCTGCAGCGCTCCCTCATCAGGGCCTCGGGGCAGAGCCCGGAGGCCCAAGCGCACCTCCAGGTCTCTGGTCTCTGGGCTGGCCACGCTCACCTGGAGAGCCTCGTTGATGTTTCCATTGTAATCCACCATCTCTTTCCCCGGTTCTCCCTTGGAGCCCTACGAGACAATGAGATCTCAAGCCAGGCCCTGGCCGGCAGGGACCTGAGGACCACTCTGCCTGCTCTCTATCAGATGGGGCTGGGGCCAACCCTGGCTGCACCTGGTTGCACACAGGTGGATCCACAGCAGCAAGAGGGGGAGCCTGTCAGGGGATTCCAAACACTCTCAGAGGATGCCCAGGGCTTCTAGAGCAAATACAGAAGACTCCAAGTGAGAACTCTGGACTACACAGACCTGCAGAAGACAGACCAATCACGGCTGCAAGGTCAGGCTCCTATCTGGGGCCAGAATGCTCTCCCTCTCCCTCCCCTCAAGACCCCAGGGACAAGCCACTTCACACCATGAGCCCAGGGAGGTGAGATGTCATGTTGTGACTCTGGGTGGGAGATGCACGTACCTTGGGGCCAGCTGGCCCCTGCGCTCCAACTGCTCCAGGCTCCCCCTGTTGCACGACAAAATAGGAGTGAAATGGGGCTAAAGCTGGGTATGAGGGAACGTGGTGTCCCCACAGGGGCCACGTGTTAGGGGCTGTTGAGTGGCCAGGAGGCTTATCTTCCTCAGGCTCCCTGTGTGTGAAAGGACAGCCTCTACCCCTCAGGAAGCATCTCCTGCTGCCCCTCCCTCCAGTCCCCTAAGTCAGCCACCTCCTTGGGAGTAGGGACCAGGCCCTTTGCTTCTCTTCATTTCCATTCTGCTCAGGTAACAAGGGCTCGGTAACTTTTTGCCCATTGCCTGGGCAGTGCGTATCCGCCAGAGAGCCCCTGCGGTTCTCTCAGGGGCCTCTCTGCTAAGAAAGACCCCAACTGCAGGAGGAAACACGGGCCAGTGTAGGGTATTAGGAACGCCCAGCCTCCAAGAGCAGGGCAGGTGTGGGGTGGGGGGGTGGGTTTTTTCCTATGGAAACAGGACAGAACTATGGGGAATACATGGAAAAGTGTAAATTGTGAAAAACAAACCACAGTTCCATTTGTTCTGGGATGATGGTAACATTGAAGACAATTTTTAAAAAACCAAGATTGAAAGTAAAAATAAAGGAAAAACGACCCTTTCTTATAACTCAACTCCTGGTGACCCTGCAGTTGGCCAGCTCACGGAGCCTTGAGCCACTGCCACCTCCAGGTAAACTGCCCCTACCTCCCCGCCCCACAGCATTTCAGTCATCGTGCACCCGTGCCGGACCCAGCGGCACCGACCCGGCCCTTCCACAGGGAGCACCTGGAGAAGTGGGAGCCCCACCTTTACCAGTGGCTTGGAAGCTAACAGAGCAGGGGGGTCTGGATCACTCCCCACCCAAGCATCCCACCCCTGGGCCAGCCTTCGCATGACTGCTGTCTCAGTGGAAGGTTCTCCAAACCCAAGGCAACCAGGAGAGATGGCAGCCAGGAGTCCTGGCCCAGCAGCCTGGGCCCGGGGGGTCCAGCCACAGGGACACGCCAAGACTGCTTCTCTCTCTGAGCTTGGGCTTGAACTGCCAAGCTGACCCTCATCCTGCAGCTCTCAGGTCTGGGGGCCTCTGTACCTTGTCTCCTTGCTGTCCTGGGGCCCCGGTCTGGCCATCGACACCAGCCTCTCCCTGGGGAAGAGGAGGGGGATGGGGTGAGGGCATTCAAGGCAGCTCGGACAGCTGCTTAAGCAGACAAAAGGTGGTCTTGCGCTTGATGTCCTGGGTATTAAGTGTCTTTGGGCCTCCATCTTTTTCCCCGCTGGCTTCTACCAACCCACCCAATTCCACCTATCTGACTCCTACACACCCCTGGGCCCAGCCCGGGCCTCGCCTCCTCCTGGCAGCCCTCCCTGTCTACTCCCTTTGTCCTCTGAGTTCTGCACCACTTGCTGATGTCCAGCCCGCACTGCCAGGCCCTGCTCAGTTCTCGGTGAACACACACATGCCCAGTTCTGCCGCAACCCCCGACTGTGGGGTGGCAGGTAATTTTGGAGCCTGGAACACTTGCCGAGGCACCTCCTCAGGCCCTGCCTGGGAGACAGAGGGGAGAGTGAAGGCAGTGGGCCCGTGGGGAAGGGGGCCCAGGAGGCCTGGGACGGGAGGTGTAGGGAGAGGTAGGAGGAGGCCCGTTCTAAACACTTCACTTCCTAAACGTTTGCCTGGTCCTGGAAGGAGGATGTGAGTTTGGGGACGGTCTTCTAGCCTTCCCTCTCTTTTGTCTCAGGACACAGGGACAATAGTGACCAGGTTTCTCCAATTCCAAATCGAGACCGAAGACGTGCCAGGTGTCCGTGCCCTGCAGGGCCAGCGGGACAGACCCCAGCACGGGGATGACCTGGAGCCCAGGGGGCAGGGCGTCTTTGGCAAAGCTGGTCCTCGTGCCTGGGCAGCTCTGTTCCCGCCACAGGCAGATGGGCGGGAGGTGGAGGGGTGGGGGTGGGGGTTAGCCCAAGGCCCTTCCGGCCACTTCTTCTCGCCTGTCTACACGGTTCCCCATGACTCCCTACACTATATGCCCATGAACTGTGGTTTTGTCTGTCCTGCCAGACTGTGGGCTAGCTGAGGGCAGGCTCTCTGCAGCCCCACTGCCCATAGCAGGCCCTGGATAAATGCCGGTGGAATGAATGCGTCCATTGCCTCAAATCATGTGGAGTAATTAATCCTCTCCTTATAAGCTAAGAAAGAGACCACTCGTTCCCCTGTGCTGCTAAAATAGACCGAGCAGCACGGGAGGCATCTGCTTTGGGAAACACAAATCTCAACACTGCAGTTTCCACCCAGTGCAAAGAAGTGCGGACAGTCCACCACAGCTGTCCGTCTGCTGCTACCCGCCCCCAGGATGCCAGCACCATGGGCCCCAGCTGATCGCTGACCTACAACCTACTCAGAGCCTAGGCGATGGGCCTTTCATCCTGCGGCCTTGCAGCCATCGCTCCCTGACTCAGTTATACCATACCATTTGAACCAAAGGGACCATCCATCCGCCCCAGCAGGGCCATCTCCCCTGGATGGGCAAACAGTCACTGCTTGGAAGCAGGAGCTCAGTCCAAATGACCTTTCTAGGATCCACTGGAAAGACCACACATCCGGAACAGGAGAAGACTAGAGAAGGCAAGGTGTCCAGGACACGGAGTCCCCAAGAATGGGCTGAGGATAAAGGCCACAGGCGAACATCTTCCTTGAGCACTGATCCCAAGGAAAGACTCACCTTTGGCCCTGGGGGCCCAGGGAGCCCTGGGGGGCCGGGCTCCCCTCTGCCTCCTCCAATGGAGTTGCCAGCATCACCTTTCTCTCCCTGGGGGTGGAAGGCACAGTTACCATCACTAAGTCCACCTGGCTCTGGAGGGAGGCTGTTGCCCCCTTCCTTCCACTCCTCTGCCTCTCTCCCCTCACAGGTCAAAGGAGTGGAGGCAGCAGTCTCAGTCCAGGCTGAGTGTCGGGGGGACATTAGCAGTCTGTGGGCTCCGGGATGGCTGCAGACCAGAGGCCTTCAGAAGCCCGGCCTGGTCTGATCTGGCCATGGGATTTGAGGGGAGAAGGGAGCTGGTTACTGAAGGGGAACAGGTGTAGGGCTGAAACAAGAGACACATCAGGACCTGGGTCTAGAGCAGTGTTTCTCAAGTGTCTTCCACAGAATGCTCCTTCAGGGGGGTGGGAATATTCAAAATGTGAAACAGTGGTCTGGTGGCCAAATAAGGTTAGGAGATGCAGAGGGAAATGAAGCCTGCAGGCTCATTCCCTGCAGGGTGCCCCGAGCTGACAGGCTAACGTGCCCGTGACTCTCCAAGGGGGCCTGGCTTACACAGCCCTCCCCAAACTTATTTGACCTCAAGGCTTATTTTTAAATAGAATATCTTTTTAAAAAATAGAATATCTCATGTACCATGAAGCACTTTTTCAAAGCTGGTGACTAGGTCATAGCTACTGAGTTCTTTGAATTTGGGCACTGGGAACAATCAGGGCCTCCCATGGAGGATCCCTTGCCCCCCTCCCCTGAAACAGAATCTGGCTGTGTTCCAGCTGCTTTTCTCTGTCTGGGAGGGACACCTCCAATGCTGGAGCCCGTGCGAATGTGCGGGGCTGGGAATGTGGGTGGGGATGGACACAGAACCCACTGTCCAGAGCTCATTGATATGCACCTTCTGCCCCAGGAGGCCGAGGAGCCCAGGGGGGCCTGCAGCCCCCTTCTCGCCCTGTGGAGGAAATGCAGACAGTGGGGGGTTAGGAACCGCTTCTCAGGGTGTCCAGGAAGGCGCCAGCCCACCAGCATAGGGCCTTGGCTTCTCCCTCCTGCCTCCCTGCCCCATGTGGGCTGCTTTCTGAGGGACTCCACTTCCTGCCGAACCCACAGCTCGCATCATTGTCCTCCTGTCCCCACGTGGGCTGGGCCCTCATCACTCACGCAGGGGAGGAGTGACACTGTCACAGATCGTAACCAAGGCCAAGAGCATCTAGTCCCGTCTGGGGGTCTCCTGGGGTGAGGAAAGCAGTGCAAAATGGCAGTAAAATCTCTTCCTTTTAACCACTATGCTCTTATCCATGTTCGTGATGTCTAGTAACTGGAGGCCCCCGGCCTCTAGGGAGAGCTTTCTGCCCACCTCCTCCCTGGGTCCAGGGAAGACAAAAGCCATCCATCCAGACCTTCTCCCTTGGAGGGATATTCTGAGAAGTTTGCCTCCTGTTCTGGGTTGAATTGCGTCCCCCCTCCAAACTCATATGTCAAAGTCCTAACTCCCAGTGTCTCAGAATGTGACCTTATTTGGAAATAGTGTCATTGGAGATGTAATTAGCTATGTTATGAGGTCATGCTGGACTAGGGTGGGCCCCTAACCCAATATGACTGGTGTCCTTATTATAAAGAGGGGAAATCTGGACATAGACATGCATACGGGGAGAACTCCACGTGAAGATGAAGGCAGAGATTGGGGTGATGCTTCTACAAGCCAAGAACACCAAGGATGCCAGCAAACTACCAGAAACTAGGAGAGAGGCGTGGAACAGATTATCCTTCACCGCCCGCAGAAGGAACCACCCCTGCTGGCACCTTGATCTCGGACTCCTGGCCTCTAGACTGTGGGACAGCAAGTTTCCATTGTGTGAGCCACATGGTTTGTGGTCCTTTGTTAGGACTGCCGCAGCAGACTAACACTCCTCCCTGAGCAGCCTCTTCCGCTACTGAAGCACCCTTTGTCTCCCCCACGACCTGAATCACAGAGTCCCTTAGAGATCCTTGAGCCCGGTTCTCACTGTACAGATGAAGGGCGACCCCTCACTGCGACAGTGGCAGAGCCAGGTCTAGCACTCGGGTCTCCTGATGCTCTGCCTTCTATGATGTGAAGATGTCACTATGTATTCACAGAGTGTCCCACGTCAGGAGAGCCCCCAAGAGCACGCCGCCAGGTCACCATGAGAAGCTCTACTCTCCCTAGCCTGATGCTCGGTGGTTCTTGAATGTAATAATATAAATCGAGGGCCCTGGGGTCGTAATTTGCTCAGATGTCCCAATGAACTTTCCAGCTGAAGCCACAAAAGATGCCACACCAAATTTTGGGGTGTCATCCCCTTGTCACCTGCCCTTTGGGTAGAAGCAGGATGACAAAATGGCCTGAAACTGGCCAAGGGAGGGGAGGAGGCTGGGTAACGGCCCAGGTGACGGGAGGGAAGTCAGTCCTGGGGCCCCGGCAGGCCCTGCTTTGCCTGGGCTGTAGCTGGGGTGTGTCTTGGCTGGGATGTGCCCTGAAACAGGCCAGGTCTAAAGGGAAAGGACCCGGTGCTGCCCTACAGAGGGCCTTCCTTCCTTCTGCTGGGCTTTCCACTGGGGTAACCAGTGGCTTTCAGGGAGGGAGGGTGTGCTCTTGAGTATGAATATCCGAAGCTTTGCCAGGCCATCCTGGCACTCCTGCCTTCCTGGCGACACATGCACCCACAGCACACTGCAGGCAGCACACCAGCCATGGGGATGGGGTGGCAGGGGGCAGGGAGTGGGGGACCAGCGGAGGCCAGGATGAAGGGGGCACACACTCAAAGACACAATATCCTACCCTCTGCCCCCTCTTTCCAGGCAAACCTGGGGGCCCCGGCTTCCCTCCTGCTCCTGGGTCTCCCTTTGGGGTAAGAAGAGAAAGTCACTGATAAGAGGATGGGGGGCAGAGAGGGGCCAATGGACAGTGATTATAGACCAGTGTTTCCAAAATATTAGTCCCATAAGATGCTCCTCTTAAAAAAAGGATGACCTGGTCAAAAAAGTTTGAAAATGCTGCACAGGATATTACCCTTTTTGGAGTTTCCCAGTGCACATTTGGTATAATAAAGGCTCTCAGAAGGCCTGCAGTAAAGAAATTGGTGTAATATTTTCAACCCCATAGTTCTCAAACACAGTTGACCACGGAAACTTTTTTCATGTTGCATCTCTTATTGTCTTAGAGGAGAGAGATAGAGCCCTGCAGGTAAGGGGACAATGGTTACTGGCCACTGGAGCTGATGTGCAGGCCGACTGGACAGCCGCCCAGGCCAAATCCAGGGAGAGGGAAGCATTTGCAGTGCGTTCCTGACAAGCAGGTCCCTTCCAGGTGGGCGGGCCCTCCTCTGCTGGGTCAGTTGCCCAGCCCCGGGCCAGCCTCAGGGCAACCAAGAGCAAAACAACAGCAGCCACTCCCACCTCCACCCCACACCTGATTCTCCATGCAGCCCAGAACATTCCCTTTGTCTCAGTACCTTGGCTCCTGGGGTCCCTGGCTCACCCTGTGTGGAAAAAAGAAGACTCAGGTAAAGAAATGGGAGAGCGAGAGAGTGAGAGCGAGCGCAGGAGCAAAGGTACTCTGGGGGTAGGTGAAGCATTTGGCCAGCCCAGGGCTTTCTTCCTTGTGCCTCTGGGGTGTCCCCACCCATCTGTCTGCCAATCAAATGGGCGATTAGGGTGGGGTTCAGGAGAAGGACTCCTGCTCCCCCCTCTGAAGCTTGCAGGCATGTAGCTGTGAATTCTGGAGTGTAAAGGAAAGCGCTGGGTTCTCTCGCTCATTGGCAGGCTGGTGAGACCTTTAGTTGAGGCTGGTAAACCCTTGCTCCTTATTTGCAAGGCTTAGTTCAACACCTGTTGTTCAAGTTGTGCATCTGGCATAAATGTTGCTTTAAGAGAAATGTTTCTGAATCCTGTCTGTCCCTCCTTGGTCCAGTGGCCACCCCACTGAGCCCCTGAAGCCCCAACTCTGTCCTCCTCTCTCCATCTCTCTCATCTTGCCCCTCATTTGTTGAGTTACGACGTTCCACTGACCTTCGTCCCAGCCACGGCGATTCCAGGAGCCCCCTGGCAGAGAGAAGAAAAGGCATGGAGACTTGCTGCAGTCAGGGGGCAGCCTGGAGGAAGTGGCCAGCCCCCCTTGGGGGGATGCGAAGGTGGACTGCTCGCTTCTGCCAGCTGCCCAGACCCACGGGAAAGGTGGGTTGCTGAGCTCAGCACAGGGAGAGTGGGCCCCCAGGAAGAGGCTTTAAGCAGTACATATACCCACCCGCTCAGCTCCCAGGCCCTCCTGGGGGACACAGTGGGCACCTTGGCAGGGAGCCACAGGGCAGGCTAGATGGGGGCATCCCTGGAGGCAGGCGGGAGGGCTTCCCTGGGGTAGGAAAGAAGGGGAGGAGGAGGGAGGGGCAGTGGGGTGGAGGGAGAGCAGTGGGGAGGTGGAGGAGAGAAGGTGGCTGATTTCATCAGGTACAGTCAACCCCTGAGTGTGTGAGTGGGATTCTCCTCGCAAGGAACTCCCTGGACCTATGCCCTTGTGGACTGGGGAGTGGCTGGGAGTGAGCCCCATTTCCACATCAGCCAAGACCACCTACTTTGAGGTATAGGTTGCCAAATGCACCACTTAGTAAATCCCAAGTGAAGGCAATTTTTGGGGGGTCCCTACTACTCCCCACATAGGTCTCAGGACTGCAGCTAGAGCTGGGGTTACCTGAGAAGGTTTTTATGACTCAGAGATGCCCAGGAGGTGGCCCGGCCACGTCAGGAGGGCACTGGTGAGGGACAGCTCATGGGCCAAGCAGGAACACACCTGCCCGGAAGGACAGGAAGGTGCAGCGACGAGAGGGCCGGGGAGGAAATGTGCGAGCTGTCTTCACAGCAGGACATGGGAAGGAGGAGGAGCCTGGGAGAGAGGGCTGGGGGAGGCCACCTGGGATGTGAGGGGCAGGTACCTTCGCTCCTTGTTTGCCCGGCATCCCTGGCATGCCCCGTTCTCCCTGAGGGAAGAAGCAAGAGAAGCAATGAGAGGAGGACCCGACTCAGTACCCCCAGGCCTGGGCCCTTGAAGCGTGGCCTGCAAGGACGCTGGTGAGAAGGCTGGTCTGGAAGCTTGGGACCGCCGTCCAGCTCATGGTGAGCTCTGAGGACCCTGCCATCGCTGGCAGCCACCATGGGCCACCATTCTCAGCCCTGTGAACTCACAGAAGGGCCCAAGTCACAGATTACAGAGCTGGAAAGGCCCCCAGAGAGGGAAGCCCACCAGTGGAGCCTGAGACCTGGTGGCGGAGGTGGGCAGGGGACTTGTTCAAGATCTACTGCCAGCCAGGATCCCAGCTGGCCTGGAACTCAGTGCTGCGGGGTGGGCACATGGGCGGAAGCTGCCCACTTGGCTGCTTACCTACTGCACACCCTCCCTCCCATCCCATCTGGTACTTCCTGGCCCATTTTCACTCCAGCAGGTTTGCTGGGGTGGTGCTGCTGGCTGAGCCAGACACGGCTCCTGTCTCTCCTCTTCACCTGGGCTTCCTCTTCCTCCCAGGTCCCTTGGGTCTAACTCTTCCCGAGGGCATGTGGGCCTTGGCCCCACGGGGCAGAGGGTCAGCCTGTGCTTTGGGTGGTGAGGGACTGCGGATGGAGGCAGGGCGCTGCCTGGAGCCCCGGAGTCCCCTCATTTCTTTGCACCACATCCCTGACCCTGCCCGTCCAGAGACACCAGGCAAGCTGTTGCCTCTCCGGGATATCATGGGATTTGCTCTACCCTCCGGCCAGTGTCCCGTCTTTTTCTTCAACCTCTTTACCTCCTCATGAAAACGCCAGATCTATGGGGGTGGGGATGAGCTCAGGAAGAAGGACAGGGAATACATACTCTTCCCTCCTTGGAAGGATACACCAGGAGGAGATAGGGCTGGAGATGACAGCCAGTGACAAACGGGGCCCAAGAGTAGGTGAGTCAAGATGAATGTGTCAGAGAGGGAGGCGCTCAGGGGAGGAAGGAGGCAGCTCTCGTCTCCGTGAGTTGAACTCCAAATGAAGCCCCAGGATGAAGCCCCAGCCAGGGCCCAGGATGCTGTGTAGCACAGCCGGCAGCTGCCAGCCTGCATCTGAAGGCCTGTGCCGTGGATAGCCATACGGAGCCCTGACAGACCTGTGGCCTGCAGGCCATATTCAAGTCCCACAGGCTTCGAGGCAGAGGAGGGACCTGGTCTCACCTGGCCTCCATCTTTTTAGCTATCCTCGGCCCTTCTCTGCCATCTCACAGAAAGTCCTGGTCCCCTCTTCTCCTTGCCAAGCCCAGAGCTGCTTCCAGCCTCTCCCCTCCATGATCGGGCCTCCACGCTGGCATCCAGGTAAGCTCCCAGCACATGGGCTGGACAATAACAGTCCCCTACTTCAGAACAGCCACTACCCGGCGTTGGCTGTAGAATGTAGGGGCCAGGCTCCTGAGCACGGCATTCTGCCCCCACTTCCTTCCTGGCCTCATACCTGACTTCTGGACATCTATTCTCTGTTTCTTTGAAAACACCACTCATTTTCACGATTCTATGCCTTTCTGCTTTTTCTTCAGCTCAAAACCCTATTCCTCATTGGGGACCCTGGTCAAACACCATTTCCTCTACGAAGCCCTTGCTGTGCCCCACAACCCCGTGCTGGTTCCTCAGTGCAGCAGGGCCCACCGTGCGTTTGTAACCTGCGTGCACGATTTCATGTCTGCCTGGCATGGCTTCACCTCCATCTTCTCTGGGCCAAGTCTCTGAATTCTACAAAAGGCCCAGAAACTAGCTCCAAACACAGGAGTCCTGCCTCACCCCCACCCCACCAGGACCCCTGAGCCACAGGCGCGGATGGGGGAACTGGACTCAGGAAGCGACCGCAGCACACAAGCCAGTGCCCAGGTCTGCCTCAGCTGCTAAATTCTGGGAAATCCCTCTTGTGGGAAAGAGCAGAGAAAGGCACGGCCATCTACTGTGTCCGTCACGTGTCTGATGCTGGGCGAAGGGCTTTACCTTCTTCCTCTATTCAGTCTCCAAGAATCCCCTCCAGCTTGAGAGTGGAGGCTATTCCTATTTCATAGGTGAGCAAACTGTGGCTCAGAGAGGCCAGGTACAGTTGCCAAGGTCATGCAGAGTAGGGATTTGAACACAGGTCTTTTGTCTGCCAAAGTCCAGGTACCCATTCCTCTCTGCCAACACTAAGCATCAGATGGGCTGGTGTTCCATCTGCTTCCATTAAACACCCTTTGCAGGCTGAAAGCAGGGCAAAGCCCTCTCTGCTGGAGAGCCCTCAGGCTGTGCCCCGTGGGCATGAAGGAGTCAGTGTGTGCGGGCGGCTCAGCCCAGGGCTAGGTCTTTAACCAGAGGCACCAGAGAAAAGAGCTGGGCGGGCCTTGCCTGCCAGCACACGTCTGCTCTGTGGCCAGCAGAGGGCGCCAGAAGACCTCATCAGAAGTCTGGCAACTGTGACCATACCAGTCTCAAAGCCCCCTCCTCAGGAGCACCAGCCCAGGGCCTCTGTCACTCTCTCCTTCCGAGGACCAGGTCCCCTGCTAACATTCAAAACAACCCACTGGGTTGACTCAGCTCCGAGGACACCAGACAGAGTCCCCTGGGGTGGGCGGTACGGGTGGGAGGTCAGCTTGGGGGTCCCTGACTGTTCAGGGACCTCCCGTTTGTCCGGCTCCTCCTTTTCCCCTGTCTTGCCCTCCTCGGTCTGCCTCCATTCTGGGGAGCTGGGCTGGGAGTCAGGAAAGACTGTGATCCTGGGTAAGCCACTTTCCCTCTCTGGGTCCAGGATCCTTGTCTGCGCAGTGAGATCAGACTAGATACCTCCTACCTACCCTGCTCCTCCATCTTTCTCCATCAGCTCCCAGCCTTGCTACCCAAGGCCCTCAGGAGGGAGAAGCCAGAGCTGGGGAGGTGACACTGGGTATGTTGGCAGCTTCAGAACAAGGCTCCGTGGGGGGCGGGGGGGGGAATTTAGCTCTGGGTGAAAATGCAGCTCTAGGAGGGGTCTCAGAAGGTCTCTACTTTCCCCTCCTCCTACCCCCGTGCTTCAGCAGGGAAGGAGGGTGGGGTCTGCTCACGCGCCACCTCTGGGCTCCTGCCTCCAGTCTCTGCAGGAGCTGTGCAGAGTGGAACCCTGGGATTGAGGGTTTCTGGCTCATTGGTGCTGTCTTCAGCCCACGTTAGTTAGAGTATGTAGACACAACCACACACTCAAGGGAAATCTGGGCCCCTCGGAGCCTCCTGAGGAGGCAGCCCTCCTCGTTAGGGTGGCTGACCTTTGCCCCTTCCTTCCCCTCTGGGTCAAGTCTCTTAATTCTGCAAATGACCTGGGCTTCCTTGATCCCCACCCCAGGGCCTCCCTCACTGCAGCCCTTTGCTGGGCAGGAAGCAGGGCTGCCCCCAGCTGACCCCCCTGCAGGCCCCTTCCCCTCTCATCAGTCTCTTTCTCCAGAGCTTGTCTCGATGGGCCTGCCCTGGCCTGACCTCTGAATGGGGGCTGGGCTCGTCTACACCAGAAAACATTAACTCCTGGACATGGGTGAGGGGAGAGGGGCGAGACTCACTGTCAAGGATTCCAGGGTGGCTGTGGGCAAGGGTGCTTCTTCGCAGGGAGCGAGGCTGGGGTTTTTCTGGCAGCTGTTGATAAGGGAGGATGAGGACACACTTCTGCTCACAGAGCTCTTCCTCGTGGCGTGTCTGGAGAGCACATCTAGAGCCTCCTTCTTTCCCCTTTCCCTTCTTAAAGGTTTTCTTGTTTCAAAGGTTTAAGTTGGGAATTGTGCTGAATTTGGATCCACTAACTCACTAATGTCTTCGCCTTAAGAGTGGAGGGAGCTCTCACCGTCTGTCAAAGCCAGAGGGCCCCAATGTATCTCCTCTACCTTTGCCTTCCCTTGTCCTCCCAGCTGGGACCCCGGAGGCCCCTCCAGTGGGCTCTCAGCCACTGATCTGGGCTATCCCGCTGGTGCCGGTGCCCCGAGCAGTACAAAGAGTCTTTGCCCAGGTGCACAGAGGGTGGACGGCAGTGGCTGCCATGGAACCAGGCCTGTGACCCCCAGGCCAAGGCCTGGCCTACCATCTGGGAGGCTGGCTCTTTAACCTTGGTGCCAAGAACCAACACCTGATTGGTGGCCCAGAAGGTGTGGGTCCCAGTCATTGTGGCTAAGAAAGCTCTGGGTAAGCACGGATGGGTAGACAGGGGGCTGCCCTGAATGACCTTGAGAGCCTCTCCCAGCCCCGACTTTTACCATGCCACTGCCCCTCCAGCTGGGCCATTGCATGTGAGCTCATTACAGCATCAATAGGTTCTCTATTCTGGTCCCCACTTCCAGGTGAGAGGACCCTCCTTTACTGAGATGACAGAATGGAAGCAAGCTCCTTGGAGCACAAACCAGTAGTGCTCCCGTCCTGTGGGAGTGGCCTCTTAATTAGTGATTTACTGGTGGCTGAACAAGCGGGGCAGGGACTTGGCAAGAAGACATAGTCTGGAAGGAGGTGGGGGGCTTCAAGGTCAGCTCCCCAGCCAAGTAAAGGTCAGGCGGAGGAGCATGGGGAGATGCAGGGACCTGCCTGAAGTGAGGCCCCCGCTGCAGCCGGCTCTGGGTGGGGAGGGCCCCCTGGCTGAAGCAGCTCCACTCCACACACAGACTCTTTGTTCTCTGCAGGGGAGGAGGAAGGCCTGTGTGAGTGGGGAGTGGAGGGCTGGGGGGAGGCCAGCGGCAGGCCTCAGGCCTGGACCTGGGCCCTTTCCTGGGCTGGAAAAGTCGGGGGAGGAAGGCTAACGTCTTTCTCTCTCCTAAAGAGTTCTCAGGACACCCTTCCGGGAAAAAGGCAGCTCAGTTCCTTTTTCTCTGCCCTAGCCAGCTCCAGACCGGAGAGGGCTGGAACCAAGGAAATCCAGGCCCTCCGGTAATTGGGGCCGGCAGGAAGTGATCTGGGGAATTACAGGGGTCAGGCGCTCCTTGGAAGCCCCGGGCTTTGGAAAGGCGGCTAGC